TTAAGCGATAATAAAACAATAATTAACATATTTAATATTGTTAGAACTACTAAATCAATTTTTTAATGAAATAAAATTTTTGTATACAATCCATGTTTACACTTTTTAGTCTCAAAAAAATAAAAATGATAACTTATCATGCTGTAAAAGTATTTAATATTATTTAAATATGCAGTAACAAGGTTACCTTCTATGATCAAAAACTTACCATTTAATAAAAATTGTAATGTAGTATTTTGGCTTGACATTGTCTACTCAGTGTTATGCTTTCATTTTATTATATTTTCGCTAACTTAAATTTACTTTTATATTTCTAATGAATAAACTAAAGATATACAGGATGTCCCATTAGTGCAAAAGTGTTCAATATTTCAATTGAATCGGTGAGTTCGAAAACCATACATGTCCAAAATCAGCCTTCCGAGAAAAACAATAAAAACCTTTTAATGAGTCACCTATATGTACGATTTTTCGCCAAATTTCAAGGATGTAATCAGTTGTCCTACGTTAACGGATATGTATCTAGTACGGTTTTTAAGCTCAATCGATGAAGAGACAAATTTTAAACAAAATGGCTATCTTACTTTAAAATGTCAAATTTTGGACTCACTGATCCAATTTGTGTTATAGACACGTAAACAAGTTTCAAATAAAATAAAATATGGATTCGAAAAAAATATTTTTGGATATAAAGGGTGTTGCGTGTTTTCCTGGCAAATAAAAATGTATTTTTTTTTATAATAGAACACCCTCTATTTTATTTGAGTTTTCGAATGGTTTGTTAATATTGTATTCAGCCCTAGAATGTTTTTAAAAAATATTACAGGTTTGCCAAACAATTATTTTTTTATGAAATTAGGGATTAAATTATCATAATTTAGGTAGGTTTACAATGATTTCAAAATTGTTTAAAATACTAAGCTAACGAATAGTAGTGTTAGAACTGTTTTATTTTATGCAGGGTGTTTTGAAGCATGTCTTAAATATGGCTAATTTTAAGTTTAATTTACTCAATTTTGTCAAATACAACACCCTGTACATTATTTTAGCATAAAATTCCTTATAAATTTACCTATACAACGATATCAACATGTTATTCAATAACACATACAAGTCCCATCAGTGCGTAATTGATCGATAGCTATTTTATTAATGGAAATAAGAAAAAAAATAATATAAAAGTTGTATGATATCCCAAGTATTTATGTGTTTATTTCCTTCTGTCTGGTACAGAACGTACAACTTTGTCAATTTAACTTAATTTTTTTAGAAATAGTACATACTTCTGTAAGTAACTTCGCTCTACGGTATTCCATTTAAAAAATTTACTAAATCGTATTTTCGCGTTTCGACACACCCTATATACAACATAGCAGAAGAATGAAGCCTATTGAAATTGTTTGACGATGTGAAAACAATCAAATATGTGTAATTACCTGGTAGGTGTTTTGTTTTAAAAAAGTGTAGGTTTAGTTAGCGCCTCGTTTATGGACTACCCTGCATATTTAAGAATTATTGTTAAATATGGTCTTACAACTTTTATATTTTTTTTTTTTTCGTATTTCCAATAATAAAATAGGTATCAATCAATTACGCATTGATGGGACACCCTATATATGTGTTATTGGCTAACATGTTGATATCGTTAGATAGGTAAATTTATAAGGAATTTTATGCTAAAATATAATTTGTAAAAATTGAGTAAATTGAACTTAAAATTAGCCATATTTAAGACATGTTTCAAAACACATTATTTTTCAAATCCATATAACTTTTATTTGAAACTTGTTTGCATGTCTATAACATAAATTGAAATATTGAACAATTATACACTAACGGAACTCCCTGTACATTTAAACTCTGTGTCCTAAAAATAAATGCCAACATTTTTAATCAGTAATTCCCAAAGTGTGCATCACGAAATATTGCAAGAGCTTTAAAATTACAAAATGTACTAATCATAAAATGAAAATAATTTCAAAACTCGCCAAATGAAAGTTTTCTAAAACCTACACGTGTGTCGTTTTATCCAACTGTTGCAGCAACGTTGACATCGGTGCGGTATCTACCTGTCTTTTTTTTTTCATAAATATATCAATGATGAACTAACAGTGCTGTCTTTTTATCCAACGTGTAATGTAATCGATGCAACATCATTCCATCAGTTTCACTGTATGCTTTTTCCGATTAGATGTGACAACTGACAGCTGGATTGCGGGAATTAAGGAGTTAATTAATTAATTGCTTTTTTTGTGGAAAAAAATCGAAAAATGAGCTTTTAAAAATATATACGTCCAAATTAAAGTACCTAGATAAATTTAAATAAAATTATAGACACAAATTTTAATCCAAAATGTCAACTGTTATTTATTTCAACGGTCAACCATAAATAAATCGAATCCAACACAAGGTGTTCAAGGTCGCATCGGTGAAAGAACGATTCCAACAAACCGGTGGGAAAAAAGACATACGATACATAATAAAATCGTCGTTTTTGCAAAAAAATCTTGTATCAGTAACAACCACAGGTAATAACACTTCTGTCTACCAAGTCGGATGATTCTTGTGGTGGTAATAATCGTAAGAGCAATGACAGACAGTACAAAAATAAGATGAAGTTATAAACTTCAAAACGGGTCGCAATTAAAATATGTTAACCAATGGACCTTTCGAAATAAAGATGAGACCATTTATGATGTATTTTAACGCACTCAAAATAGTTGATTAATGACCCCTATTAATGAATGATTTTCTATTAATCAACGATTTTATTATATGCAACCCAACGTACATTGCTATTATTATACATTTATATTGACAGTTACCTACGGTGTAATTTCTTAAAATTCAAAAATTCTATGTCGGCATAGTATAAAATCAAAAGAGTGATATTGACGAAGAGTTTAATTTAACTCCACCAGAAGTGGCAGAAACTGCGAATGCAAAATCGTTAAGTTTATTGTTATGAGGAAAATTGAACTAACTGTAAATAAAGTTAATGTAAATAGAAAATAGTAATTGTTGTTTTTCGTTAAATAAATAAAAATTGCAAGTAAGATATTTTTATTTTTGAAAAGTACGGTCGACGGAAAAGTTCTGTAACGAACTCGTGAATTAAAATGGCGATTAACAATCTCGAACGTTAACGCGCTCGCTCTGCTCGCGCGTTGTATTATCTCGATTGTTAATCGCCATTATTAATACACTTGTTCGTTAAATAACCATTGTACGTGTGCAAAATAAAGATGCTTTTGAATCGGCTGCAATGTCGCTACGCTTCATACGTATTAGTGTGAAGGGTGTAGGTACGAAAGGTGTATAAAACATCGATTATTAAGAATATGTGCACGCAAACGATGACCTGTACATATACATATATTTCACATTGTTACATTTGATGAATTACGTAACATAAATGTCGGAACTTATTTTTCGGACACTCTTTATGTAAAAAGTGCAGTACTATTGTATTTTAATTATATACTATCTCCCTTGTGGGCTAAAATCATTAAAAACAAGAAGCTCTTTCTATCGTTCTTCCATAACAAATATTTTAACCCACATTTCATTCAATTATAATTAATTTAAATAATAAATTGTACCGCAAAATGTTTTTATTTCACCCAGGGGTAATCATTAGGCCTTAACAAAAAGAAACTTTGTAGTACAAAGTTTAACGACAAAGAACATGAAAATTAACAAGAATTCGGTTTCATCGTAAAATACTCATTTACACTTTAAATTACATTTACTTCTCAATCTATTAATTTCTAGTTTTAATCACTGTTAATTTTCGTTTGGTTGTTGATAAATCTTATTCGATGAATTCTTATTAATTTGATACTTTTAGTCGTTAAACTTTGTACTACATTATTTGTTTTTGTTAAGGCCTTATGTTAAAACCAGTATCCTCTATTAAAAAAAAAAGAGAAATAATTTTGTGGTTACAGATTTTGAGTACCTACTTATTTTCGTTTTTACAAACATGGCCACATTATTTGAGCAGTTGAATATACTCTCTACGATTTAAAAGTAATATATTTGTCTCTAAGCAATATACATATATTTTTTAAAGCCCCACATTATGATAAATGGTTCCTTTGGTGGGAAAAAGACTGAAATTTTCTTTGTAAAACGAATAATGATACTTATGATAGCTTTTAGTTAGCCTACATTTTTGTTTTTGATACGAAATTATAAAATACATACCAATATTGATTATTTAATAAGACACTTTGTATTGAAATAAATTATATTTTAGAATACTTTTTTATAGTCTACGCTAGGGCATCGAAAAGTGTTTGTTACATTGTAACCCAGGAATGTATAATTTATATTTATTATGTAATCATAAAATTACATTTACTATCAAGTTTAAAGCATGCAATATTTATTTAAAGCGACATTCTAGTTGGCGTTTCAAGCCTACATATATACAATATGTATCTGTACATATAAAAAATGTTCAAATATAACAAATTTAACGCGTTTCGGTTTAAAGGTTAACAATTCATTTTAAAATGTATTTCAATATGCTAGTTAAGTTTTTTATTTATAAATCACATATTGATAAGTTTTAACAAATTATCAGATGTTCTTATTGTGTTAATTTGGTTTATTTAATTATTTTAATAATTTAAATTTTCTTATAAGATTGATCTTAAATATATTAAAGATATATGTCTTGTATAGTTGAAAATAACATATATTTTTGGCATAAGATTCTTATGAGGAATATTAGAAAATTAGAGAAATATTTGTGTAAATCTTAATTATTATAAAGCAAGGAATCATTTAATGTTCAGAAAAATGTTCGTTTTTTAAACTAATACATAATGATACATATTCATTCATCAGTTTTATTTATAATATAAAACCGACATTTTTGTTCATGTGTTTTAACGTTTAAAACTTTTTAATGCCCAATGGATGTCTTATAAATAATATTTTGCAATAAGATAAAAAAATACAAATAGGACAAAGGGCTATTATTAAATAATAGCTTAAATTTTTAAATATAAAACTCGGCTACTAATCCATTAAAAATAAAAACACAATTAATTTTTTAAGGTGTTTAACCACCGCTTAAAGATAAAAATAAAATACCATATACTGTATATGGAATGGTAGTAATTGTTTTAATATTTTTTTAATTAAATATGTTTGAAATAAACAATGTTGTTAAATGCAGATAAATTTTATTAATTTAACTTTTAAATTAGTTTTGCAATTTTTAATAGAATATTTTAGTAAAAATTGTGGATAGTCCATTCTGTTTTGCTTAATTTGCCCTTGTAACTTGAGAGATTGACGATTTAAAGAATTTTCTGAAGTCAAACTTCCATGATGATATAGTGAAAGTTAAATGTACTTTGTTCATATTCCATGTGACTAATTTCTTACATTTTGAATCAATCTTAAGGAATATATTTATAGTTTTAATTTCAATTTGTAGATCTGTATTATTTCCATAATTTACACCATTTAAATTATGTCGATATAATAGCTAAATCATAAAATGTATCATAACGTTCTGTAGTGCCAAACATCTCATGAAATAAAAAACATCTAGGTCAAGCTTTTTGTGTGATTGATAACATTATTGACAAGTCAAAGCTAAACCTTTTTGCTTTCAGCTTTACTTAAACTTATGGCTAACTCCAGATCAGCCTGCTCCTGCAATTGTCTCTTTAGTCGGTCCTGCTCCATCCGCAGGCTCTCGTTAGCGGCCCATACTAGCTGTTGGTCCTCGTTGAAGGGAACTTGCTTGGTGATGGGTGCCGACGCTCTACCACTATGGCTAACAAAGGGATCGTTGCTCGGTAAAGGAACTGACTGCCTGCCGTCCAGTCCGAACGGGTCGAACTTCTCTTTTTCTTTATCCTTGTCCTTTTCGTCTTTGGCAGGGGCGGGCTCATCGTCAAACGTAATGTTAAATGGGTCCTCGTACCGATAATTACGGAAAGGGTCATCGGTAAACTCGAGGGTGTTAGAAGACTGTGCTTGGACCTTTGCAATCGGCTTATCAGTGAACTGAAGAGGATATATGAAGATTATTAAGGCTGAAAAGTGTTAGTTAAAAATTTGTTAGTGAAACCCTTGGTTGAACTGCGCCTGAAATTTCATTAATACTTGCTACTACATGTAACTGCTTCATGCAGGTGCCAGATGAAGAAATGCAAACTTAAAAAAAGAAACTAAAAATTAAAATCATACAAAAAAAGTTTTTAAAATCCATTTTTAAATTAAAATGTTTAATAGACATTATTATTTCTGGAATGCATAAAATGAACTTGGAGCAGTTCTTATAATTTGTTAGTTAAAATGACAATAATTGATTAAATATATACAGGGTGTTAGGGATAACATCCATATAATTCTAACAAGCAATTAAGGTGACAAAATTATGCAAAAAACCTTATATTCATAGTTGTATCTTAAAACATGTATTGTTCTGAACAATTGTTAATATATCTCATAATAGAAAAGTAAGTACTATAAATATTAAATGTAAAATACAATTGTCGGTTGTCCAAGTTACAATTCACGGACCGTGACAGAATTTCTCAAACCTGCTCTGGAGACTATTTAATTTCTACAAGTGGTTCAATTAGAGATAACAGATATAACCATTCATTGATAAAATATATTATTCACGATTCCAAGACTAATTCGACAATCAATACGCGCTATTTGTAGGTCCGCGGCGAGGAGACAAAAGGTGAGAAGTAAGAGAGGGGATAAAGAGAAGGATTTTAGGCAGATACAACTTTATTTATATCAATGAATAAATGTGTAAGCCGCTGTGTACTTATAATAAACAACGTAGATATCCATGCTGGTGTAACCACTTTTTCCACTTCCAACCTAACAGGTTTTGGAATTTATTGAAAATTATTACATCTAATTTAGTTAAATTTTATATAATTAATGATTCAAAATGTTTTGGGTTCAGTTGCAATAAAATAGTTGAATTATTTTAGCTTTTTTAATATATGTAAATAATTTTGTAAACAAAACGAGAATAATGAAATAGGCATATGACAACAGCGGATATTATACCCTCCTGTGTTCCTTAGAATATGTCTTATTCAGGACCGCACGATATTTGTTAGTAGTTACATATCCTGTTATCTCTGGGTTCAATCAAGTGTAGGTTTCTGAAAGACTCCGTGTATCGATAGAGCAACAAATCTCGATGAAATGAAGCAGACAATTATCCAACACTGTGCAATCATTTTACCAGATCAACACAGAAATACGAGATTATCTTTGTATAACAGATTTGGCTCTTGTTTGGCACATTTGAATCTCTAATTAATTTGATTTGTTTTTAAGATTTATTTATTATACTTTTCACACAATAATCTGTGAAGAGTATTTATTATAGGTTTACTTTGTCCGTCTAATGTCACTTTTGTTGTCCAGATTTTAAGTCAAAAATAAAAAAATGAAATCAACTTGAAAATTTCAGGTAAAATCAAGCTCTACAAGGGGATAGAGACTATTGATTTTGAAAAAAATCTGAACAAAATGGGGGGTTAAGGGATGTTGAAATATTTAAAAAAAAAAATCATAACTTAAAAACGAAAAATTATATCAACTTGATTTAAAAAAAAATCTGAATAAAGTGGGGCTCAAGGGGGGTTGAAATAAAAATTCCAAAGCGATATCAACATGAAATGTTTAGTAAAAATCAAGCCCTATAAAGGAATGAATAAATATATAAAAATGGGGAGATAAGGGGGTTGAAATATTGAAAAAAATCGGAAACAAAAACGATATCAAATTGAAATTTTCACGAAAAATCAAGCTTTATAAGGAGATGAAGCCTATTGATTCTAAAAAAAAAAAAATGTGATAGAAAATGGAGGCCATTCTAGTTTATTTTTAATTACAAATTAAATATATTTTTTTTTTTAGAATTTTATCTTGTTTTTTTGGAAGAATATTTTTTTTTAACACCATTATGGTAAAAAAGAAAACGGTAGTTATTTTCATAAAAATTATTTGCTACACTTATTGTAACAAATAATTTTTGAAAGTCAACGTAATGTCATAAAATAATCTTATTATAGAAGAGCTAGTAATATATCCCAATGATAACATTTTGATATTAAAATCATAAGATTCCCCATCTTTGCTAACATATGTAGTATGGCGGTCCTAGCTGATCAGAGTCTTTGTTTGATGCACATATGTCCCTATTATACCTTGTCTAATTCATTGTAAAACAGAGGGACTGTGTTTAATTCTTTCGTACCTGTATCTACACTATATGTTGATACTCTCTTCATGTTATTATTGGTTTTATGTTATTTCCATAACGTTGATCTTTTTGAACATATTGTATTTTCTGTGCCATCAGAAACATACTATTAGAAGTGTGCTCCGCGGAGCCCTGAGGCTCCGCAAAGCCTTTGTGGGGGCTCCGCGAAGAAAATAATAGTCATAATAAAAAAAAGCAATACTATCGCCACAAAAGGGAGGGACCTGGCTTGAGGACCTTTTCTTTAAGTCACTAAGAGGAAGGAAGATGTTAAGATTTTGTTTGAGGACTTTTTTTTAGAAATGTGAAAGGTTCCGTCGCCAAGAAAGTTTGAGAAACACTGTATTAGAGAAAGAGGCACGCATGATGAAAAAAAAAACATTTGTTGTTAAGAGCAAACATGACGGGCGCTCCTCCACCAAAAATCAATTTTACATTTGAGGCAGTTAAAAAAAATTGTAAAAAAAAAATGGTTCAGGCCAATCGTTGTAAAAATGAACCAAGAATTTCGCTAAACCGCGAAAAACTTATATTTTTAAAGAAAAACAACAAAAATTTTAACTTTTTAACAAATTTAATTTTTTGGCTCTTTACCAGCATTCTATAACAAATATCTTAACTATTTTCTAAATAACTTTTTTTCAAAAAGATTACCAATTTTAAACAGGACCGAAGATTAACATAGTTTTCATTCAGATACTAATTCTATTAAAACAATGATACCAGTGAATATGGCAACGCTGCTAGTCTTTGAAGCCCGTGGTTAAAAGGGTAGCTGCTGTTTAGTTAAATTTGTTAATTCCTGTGTCGAAAAATAGGTAGTTGTTTTTGAAGTGGTGCGAAATTATTGTGATCGTCTTAGTTTGTTGTTGAGGCGTTGTTAGGTTTTTGTTTAATTTAGTTTTTAGTTAATTTATGAAATGAAAAATTCTGGAAGGCAAAAATGCACAGCTGACAAATTTCTATTTTATTTGTTTGCTGCCAGAGTTAGTAAATCCTAGAAAAATACGACATGTGCCAAGAATTTTGCACGCTTAAAAAAATGTGTAATATACAGGGTGTTTCTAAATACATGCGACAAAATTCAGGAACTGATTGCTCGTATGAAATTAAGATGGGTCTTTTCTATAACAAAATTTCCTCAGCCCACCCCTTTTCGAGATATCACCCTTAAAAAGTGGTGACTAAAATTGAGTTTTTATTTTTTTTCTAAAATTTCAGTAAAGCTAGAAACTTGAAATTCTGTAATCGCAAAGGACTAACCACGGGTATTTTTTCAATATTTCTGTTACATTATAGGGGGGTGAAATTAGCAACACTTACTTTATTTCATATCAAACCTTTTTTTCGAGATGAACTTTTATGAAATCCTTGATTTATTTAATTTTTTTTTATTCTTGAATTTTTTTTCCCAAAACCAATAGCTTCAGAGAAAAAAAAATTAACACGCTAATTTATTATTATTTTTTTTTTTAATAAATTGAGTGGAAAACAGTGTAACGGGCTTGTAACTATCGTATCGTACACTCTGTCATTATTCGTTTCTTGCAATATTTACACCAGAAGATAGCACTGAAGGAAGCGTTTTAGCCACTAATTTTTGGCGAATTTTAAGAAATCATTAACAAGACATTAGGGGCTTAAATTTGGGGATTATATTAAGAATAGTGCTGTCGAGGAATGCATTTATTTTCATTGTGATATTTCAAAATTAAAGCCCTTTTAGTTTTTTTGGGAAACTGGAAGGAATTAAAACATTAAAATATATGCATATTATAGATATTATTGCCTAATTTATTTCAGGAAATTTTGACATAAAGCAAAAATTATAGATAATAATATTAGAAGTAACTTTTATTTGAATAATTTTCTTCTCCAAACATAAATAACGGATATATTCAATAAAATATAGAAACGGCCTCCCATAAAGTACCTCCCCCCCCCCCCCCCAGATGTTCCGACTTTGTCCAAAATCTAATTTTAAAATTTAGTGTGTATTGGTTCATGAGTTATGGTGGATATAGACATACCGATACACACGGCAATTTTACCCTAAGCTCCCCCTAATTTACTCCCCTAAGAAGATGATCAATAACTGGGATTTAGTCCAATAAATTAAGCGTAAAAAGGTAAGTATTTGTAACAAATTTTACCTAATTATCTTTAAACGTTTAGAAAATATTTACAAAAGTGTGGTATCAGGACTTCACCTTTAACACCCTGTATCTCGGAAAAGAAACGTTTTCGGACCTATGTTTATATGAACTTTTACTACTATTTTAGGATGTAGATTACGCTGTTAAAATATGACCGTCTAATTTCGGGACACCCTGTATATCATCTATAACTATCAATAAATAAAAAATATTTGAGTTGTTTGGTTTAAAAATAATATTCCTACATTCGTATATTAACAAGCCACTAACCCCCAGTAGGCGGCGATAGCCAACGAATTATACCTACCTGAATTGTAATCGGACCCTTCAGCGTACTACACACAACATTGCCAAATTTATGTAGCGAACAAGGTTCCAAATACTTTAAGGGGAGGTCGTGATATTCGTGCGGTGTGACGTCAGAAGGGACTGGATTGCTCTTAAATGATTATTTATAATAATGATGTATTCAGAAACAGATGCCGATCAGATAAATTTTAATTGTTTTAAAATAAATTCATATCTATCTTCTTTATATTTTTGTCATTAAATTGTTCTGTAGAAGTTAGAATGTAATCTTTTATTTCAAATGGCTATTCTAAAAAATTTTAATATTGGTCATGTTAATGTACAATCCTTGATCCCTGTTGTTTATGATATCAAATGTCTATTACATAAATATGACCTGGATGTTTTAGGTATAACAGAAACGTGGTTGAACGATGAAGTGGCTAATGATATTATTAAGGTAAAAGGTTATGAATTTTTGAGAATTGATAAGGGTAATAATAAGAGAGGGGGAGGTGTAGGAATATTTATTAAATCAATCATAAAGGCAAGTATTGTTGTAAGAAAAAAACTTGAGCAAATATGGATCTCTTTCAAAATAGGAAATATCAATTTTGCTTGTGGGGTAGTTTATAGACCTCCTAGTAATAATGCTAGAGATACAATTCATGTATTAGAAGAATCAACAGCTTTTATGCTACCTAGGTGTGATGAAGTAATACTAATGGGTGATATGAATTTAGATTTACTAAAATCTAATAACACAACAGATATTTATAGTGACATGTTAGAATCTTTCGGTCTGAGACAACTAGTAAATAAACACACCCGAATAACAAAAACATCACCCACTCTATTGGATATTGTCTGTATTACTAACCCTGATTTAATAATAAATGATGTTAAGCATGTTGATCTGCATTCTGTTACTGATCATCAACTTACATTTTGCAACTTGATTACAAAAGTGCTCAAGAAAAACGAGAAGTTTAAATGTTTTAGAAATTATAAGAATTTTAATATATATAATTTTAATAATGATTTACATTCCCTAAATTGGAATCAATTTTTTTATTCCATTGAGGTCGATAGGAAAGTTGATATATTAGCTAATATTAAATATTTGTTTGATCAACATGCTCCATATCGCAGAGTACAAATCACGAAACCAAAAGCACCGTGGTTGTCAGATAGATTACGTAAACTAAAGGGAGATAGAAACAAGTTACTGAGTAAATTTAAGCGGACAAGGGATCCAGATGATTGGGATGAATATAAGCGAGTAAGAAACTTTGTTACAATAACTGTAAGAAATGAGAAGCGCGCATATCTAGAGCAACTAAACAGAATTGGTAATAGTAGGGACACATGGTGAGCATTAAAACAGCTAAATGTGTATTCTAGTAAAAATGATGTAGATATTCCAAAAGACATAAGTGATCCCGATTCGATAAATAATTATTTTGTGGACTCAGTTTTAGATTTGGGATGTGAAGTAGATCCCGAGTTAGTTAATTATTACAATACACATAGTCTCAAATGGTCCGAGTTTCAATTTACAAACTGGTTTGGAAAAGGATGTTTTAAATGCAATAGGAAGTATTAAATCTAATTGAGCAGGTTCGGATGGTATAACTTTAGATATGATAAAACTTTGTTGTCCACATATTTTGCCTCATTTAACACACATTTACAATGTTGTTTGACAGAAGGTTATTTTCCTATTAATTAAAGTAGCAAATTCTACAGAAATCAATCAGTTAAGACCTATTAGTAAGTTGTCAGTCTTATCCAAAATTTTGGAAAAATTAATTTATTCACAGATGGTACAATATTTATCAGATCACAATTTATTTGCCGAAAATCGATCTGGGTTTATAACTTCACATAGTACGGGAACTGCACTAACTAAAATGCTGGATGACATAATGCATAAGGGGAAAATTACTACACTAATTTTGTTGGATTACAGTAAGGCATTTGATACCTTAGGTAGAGAATTACTTTTAGCCAAACTGAATTATTATGGTTATTCTGCAGGATTGTTAAAACTATTAAAGAGTTGCCTATCGCATAGATGCCAATATGTGACTATAAACAATTGAATCTAGCTCAAGAATGATTGACAAAGGTGTGCCACAGGGCTCAATTTTTATACCTCTTCTTTATCTTATATATACAATGGATCTTAACAATAATGCTGTGAACTGTACAATAGATCAATTTGCTGATGATACTCAAATTTACAAGAGTTTCTTAGTTAATGAACAGGGTAATGCTCGCTTAGAGATAAATCAAATTCTGTCTTATATATTCGATCATTCAACTAAACATGGGCATAAAATAAATCCGGCAAAAATTCAAGCAATATGCTTTGGTAATGTTACCAAAGTTATAAAAGATAATTTAAATATCGAAATTGATAATGTGGTAGTTAAGCCATGTGACTTAGTCAACAGTTTGGGAATTTGAATTTGAATGCATCTCTAAAAATACAAGTCTGTGAGACGTTAATATTAAGTCATACCAATTATGCTGATTTTGTTTATGGGCCATGTTTAGATGTAGACTCGTCGGCGAGGCTACAGAGAATTCAAAACTCGTGCATTAAACTCATTTTTACATTAACAGCTAGAGATCATGTTTCAAGCAAATTGAAAGAATTGGGGTGGCTTAATATGTTTAATAGACGAAAACTTCATATGGCTTCCTTTGTACACAAACTGCTGAGAAATAATAATCCAGCATACCTTAGGAAAAAATTGACGTTTAGCTCGAATGTTCATAACCGAAATACTAGCCTTCTTGTTATACCTAAACAGAACAACTCTCTACAAGAGATCTTTCTCATACAATGCAGTCACTATATATAACTCTCTACCTGATCAGTGTAAAAATAATTATCTACAAATCTTTAAAAAATTACTGAAAAAATTTCTTTCGTTTTAAAATTTGTGTTTATTGTCATTTTTCTTATTGCATGTGTCTATATAAAATGTATATTAAATAATTTAAATCTAAATAACAATGTATATTTCTATTATATGAAATGTTTGTATTTGGTACTCAGTTGAGTGAAACAGCTATGCTGGACTCCGCCGAGGCTTATTAAAATAAAGACGTTTATTATTATTATTATTATTATTAAAAATAGACAAACTGTGCTATAAATCTGACAGTTGGAACGTTTTTATTCTATTAATGTAGAACACAAGTATAATATACTTCTTGTTCCTATTTATCACTTTAATTACTTGAATAAATTGTGCTGGTGTTATCCCTAGACTTCCTGTATAAATATTTTATGTGTTTTTATGATATAGTATTAGGTTTTAAAATTAAAATTATTTACTTTGTCAACCAAGATATAAGATTTTTTAGTAAAAAAGTATTTTATTGCTTTTTCCATTTTAACAAGGTACATAAGAGGCTTTCATCTATGACTACTATAAAAAATTAAATAATAGAATACTTATACTAAAAAATAATCATAAAAGAATCACTAAATAAAATAAAACGTTAAAAGGCATACCATGTGTCTATTGGGAAAGGTAAAAATTAATTGTGTAAAAAAGGGATCGTTCAGTGAGGGAAAAGGCAACTGGGTGTGATTTATCAGGAAACTGCGGTGTAGACACTACAAAATAAATAAAATTTGTTTTAGCAGGTTTCTAAAATTTTGAGAGTATCCAAGCAACGTTCCTATAGAAAGTTTTTTAATGGTATTTTTTTATTTTTTATTATTATTTAAATCATTTCAAATTAATTCAGATATTAAAATAAAAGCGAGTAATGTTTACTGTCTTAAAACAATTCATCATACACATTTTTCCGAAATTAAACTTAAATATTTTTCATTTCCATATAGAACGATCTGTTTACAAATAATTTTTGATTCAAGTTAATTTATTTCATTTATACTATATGGTTTAAAACCATTTTTATTTTTGTTAAACTAAAGAAATTAATTAAAATTTGATATTTGTTCATTTCTTTTTGATAAATCTCTAGATTTGTGTGTTTAACAATCTAATATATTTTTTTGTACTTAAAAATAACTTATTTATTGTCTAATTATGCATGGATAAAGTATCGTAAGTATTGTAAAATTGTATGGTGGAAATGCTCTCAAAATTTTAGCATTCATCAAATTGCTTTTTGCTGAAAGTTTTAGATCAGTAAACGAATTTACCTTTGCATCGAAGTCTGAGAAATCAGCGAAGCCTCCGCTACCTCCAAACGGATCACTATCAAAGGCATCAGACTGCTGGGGCTTCTTGAAACTTGGAGGTAGGGGCCTGGGTGGAGCAGGTCTAGGTGGTGGGTTCTTACTCTTTTTGGGTGGTAAGGCGGGACTGGGACTAGTGGGTCGGGGAGGTGCTGATCCATCTCTCGTTGGTGCATGTAAAATGGCGAAGGGATCACAACCAAATGGGTCCTTTTCAGCCTAAAAAATATCACTTGTCAAACTAAATTTTTTCCTTTTAATGATGCAGCAAGTTCGAATCCTACTCGGAGCGGAAATTTTTACAATTTTCCAATTTTTATCTAGATTCTTTTCACTCATCGGAAGTTCAGGAATTTATTTCATTGTTTTTCACTATTTCATTAAAGGTGCACAGTCCACATAAGTTCAATTCACTGTTAATCATCACGTTCATTTAATTTTTCAAAAACTGCGCAATAATAGATTTGACAGAAGTCATTTGAAGGATAGTATTTATGAAAAACAATATTATTTTGGTACCGGTGGTGCGATATCTTGTCTAGGCTGATTACTTTTCAGCCCAGCCTCGTATATAAAATTATGTTAATTTATATTATTAAACATACCTCTGTCGTTGTAGGTTTATTCTGAGAACTATCAAATGCATTAAATGGATCACCATGTCCAGTATTTGAAGTAAATGAGCCACCAAAAGGATCCGATGAAAAACCATTCTAAAAACAAAATAATAATAAATAAGTCTTAAAATAAATAACGAAATATTCTTACATTATCTGGAAAGGCGGGTTTAAACTGGTCATTAGAAAAGGCATCATTACTTTTAAAAGGATCTGAAAAACAGAAACAAATGATAAAAATGTTTGTAATCAAAGTATAAAAAAGTATATACCGTTCTGGAACGGATCATCCCCGAATCCTGAGGAAGTGTGACCATTTTGGTTACTAAAGGGATCTTTGTCAAATCCATTCTGGAAAAGAAATAAAACAATTAAAAGATTTTTACTGGATTGACTACAAAAGTTATAAGGTACACTAAAATGGATAATTCTTTACATCAAAAACTTGAGTGCAGGAAAAAACCGTGATTACTGGATACACAGGAAAGTAAAAATAGCTAATGCATTATAATTAAGCTTTTTTCTAAAAGGGCAGTAGACTGGGGTGGCATAGTTAAAAAATTAATCCTGATATTGCTCAGTTTCATCTCGGTTCTCATTGCCGTCATACCGACTTCGAATCATCTTTATCTTTATCTTTATCGGTTGTAAGCAGGTAGGGTTAGGTTTGGCCCAGAACACTGCGGCCTCTTGGGTCTATTGTATTCCCCTGCTTTCTCCGTATTCAGGTACTATCTTTGGAATAGTCCTGTGTCTTTGGTTAGTTTTAATAGGTTCCCTACCAAGTGTTCCTAAGGCGTTCTTTCCGGTTCTAGGCCGAAAAGGATGACTTCGAATCATACAAAAGCCAGATTCTAATTTACCTCTAAAATGATATCTAGTAACTTTTTTAGTAACGTTTCCCCGTGTGGACGCGACTTTTCAATTCGCTTCTCCTGGTTTAAAAATGAAGTATAAAACAATTTACATCTTAGGTCAATCCTAGCCTAGCACGAGCCAGATCATTAACGAGAATAATCAGATCATACATTCACTATTTGAACAAGTGTTCATGATAAAATTAGGCCCCTTCTTGAGCGTTTGTTTGACCTTCTTTAAGCGTTACTTTGTCTCCAGATAATATCCACTTATTTTACAACTAAATTTTTTTTTCCATCTCGCTCATCTGCTCATAAGATTGTTTAAAGTCAAAGAGAAAAAGGGTGCAAATTATTTTAAAGTTGGTACCACTGAAATGTGGTTACATAATTTGACAACGGCTGTCATGAAATTTTGACCAAATGGAGCGTATAGCAACAATAACGTAAGTACGTAACACTGTTTTAAAATATATGTATATTTCTTCTTGAATCAACTCTTGTCGAGTGTCAACGCAACATTCTAAAATTAGACGTCGATAAGTCAACATCTTTGTTAACTTAACTATAACATTCATAAACAAAATTTTACTTAACCATAGAACAGAACTGTGGAATACTTTTTGACGTTTTTCGAAAATGTTCAATTTTATTTGTGATAAAAAAGTTTAACACACAATCTCTTCATGCTTTATTTAATCTATACTGAGGCCTTCAGATATTTGAACATCCAGTAACAAAAATCATATGGTCCACAAATTCCCAGATAGCTGCAAGCATTCTTTTCATGTTCTTTATCGTTAATGTTGCACCTCAGTGTTCTAACCTGTTTTTTAAATTATACATCAAATAGACGAGTATCATCTGCATGTAATAAACTTAAGTGATCTTATTGCTGCATAACTACTGTATTATCAAAGAGAACAAAATAAAATTTGAATTCATAAATTAAGGGATAATTTTTTTTAGTATAAATGTAAAAAATACCTGAGTCTTTGTATCTTCGTTTAAAATTTTCTTATATTCAGATTCTCTGAATTCAGGTTTAATTCTTAAAACATTATCAGTTATTTGAGAAATATCACCAGATTCTATTGTAGAATCGCATGCCACAATCGCGTCATTCATCTGTCTTGTCTGTTCCTGTAGCTGGGTTATCAAAGCCTTTGCCTATAAACAAATATAAAAATAATACATTTTACCAACATGAATAAATGTTTAACTTTCACTCACCTGGCTAATATTAAGCTGAGTATCTTGCAAATTCACTGAAAGGCTATCTAATTTTTTAATACTTTCAGTTTTCTGTTTTTCTAGGCGTTCTTCTTCCATTCGAAGCCCTTCAAGCTGTTCCTTTTTACTATTCAGTTCTGTTTCTTGGGCCTTCACCATTTCCGCTTGTTCAGCAGCCTGTACCCTCAATTTATCAACCTAAAAATGATTCGTTTTTCAATTAAAATAATAAAAAAAAAATCTAGTCGAAAGCATACAGATATTTATTTCTAAATATAAACGATTTTTATCTATCAACTGCATGTAATTGAATAGACATATCATGCTGTTATGATGTTTTGTGAATGTGAACATCTTAAATATTTTTAACTTTTTTTTTGTAACATTTAAAAATTATATTTTTTCATTTTTTCTATTAAAAATACAAGAATAACAGATTTTGTAAAAGCAAGTAATTTTATGTTAGTTTTGATAAAAAAATATCATGTTTTAGTTAAGCATTCTAATTTACAAAGCATCTTTAAATTTACCTACGTGTAAATCTTTATAATGAATGTCTAATAGAGTTGGAAGATATTTCAAGATTTGTTATTTATGTCAATTGGGTAAACTGACATTCTTTACTTGTTTTTCTAACGATTTAATATTTTTCTAAAAAATATTAAACAATATTTCTAAATGATTTACTTGAATTTACTAATTACACTAATGATTCAAATGCTGCGTGCACCTCTGTAAATATTTAGAGGTTAACTTAATATATACATTTTCCATACATCTAACTCAAAAATTCTGAAAAATTTAAATTTTATAATTTTCCTCCAATTTTTCCATTATGGTCCATTTTAGAGAAATCATGTAAAAAAAACAGAATTATAGATATCGATATGACAAACATCTTTTAATTTTTTTAAAAATCATAATTTTTTACATTTTGTAAAATTTCTCGAATACGGACCATTTTAGGAAAATTTTGCATAAAACAAAAATTATAGAAAATAATATTAGAAGTAACTTTTATTTAAAAAATTTCGTAAATAACAGATATATTCCATAAAATATAAAAACGGCCTCCCATAAAATACCCCCCAGGTGTTCCGCCTTCGTCCAAAATCTAATCATTTCACCTCAGGCCGAAATAAAACTTAAGTTTAAAATTTAATATTTTTTCCTTTATCCGTTTTTGAGTTTCTTCAAATTTCGAAATTTACACATTTTCTCAAATATCTCGAATATGGTCCATTTCAGAGAAATTATATATGGAATAAAAATTATAGAGAATTAAATTACAAACAACTTTTATTTGAACAAATTTTATAAAAAAAATATTTTTTTACATTTTGTCAAATTTCTCGAATACGGACCATTTTAGGAAAATTTTGTATAAAACAAAAATTATAGATAATAAAATTGTAAGAAGAATTGAAGAATTTTCTTCTCCAAACGTAAATAACGGATATATTCCATAAAATATAAAAATGACCACCAATAAAGTACCCCCCAAATGTTCCGACTCTGCCCAAAATCTAATCAGTTCACCGCAGGCCGGAATAAAGCTTAAGTTTAAAATTTGGTGTCTTTCTTTGTATCGGTTCATGAGTTATGGTGGATACAGACACACACACAGACAGACATCATCACGAAAATAGTCGAAACGGGTTCAGGGGACCCCAAAACGTAAAAATCCGTCGAAAACTGGAGGTCGATAAAAATCATGATTCCTATACTTTCCTTATCTGTATACGGATAGGAAAGTAAAAAGTGTCCAATTCAAAAGTTAAAAAGTATTGTGGAAATTTATGTTCTCAAGTTGAATTTAATAATAGTTACTGGTTAGTGAAGAAAACACGTGGTAGTGTATAGCAGACCATACACGTAAAATGCCTAACAAAAATACGCGTAGTACGACCCAGAGCAGTATTCTAGATGAAGAGGCTATTGAACAAACTGTAAGTAAGATATGCCAAAAATTATTCAATAAATTAGATGAAAAACTAGAAACAAGATTTATGGAATCTCAAACTGAAGAATTTAGAAAATTAAATGTAAATTTAGAAAACAGATTTGATAGTATGGAGTCCAAAATTGCCGAAATGTCTGTCAAAATATCAGAATTTACTGTTTCGTTGAAAAGTAATAAAGATGAAATAATCTTATTGTTTAACAAAATTAATAAATTAGAGGTCTCAGAATTTAAAAATGGGCTGTGTTTTAATGGAATTCAGGATAATCCCAATGAAAATCTCATGTCAATAATTAACAATCTAATAAACAATGTAATGGAGGTAAAATTCTCTATGGCAGATGTCAATGATTTGCATCGATTGGGTAATCCTAATACACATTTAAACAAACATCGAACAGTTGCAATAGATCTCATTTCTCATTTAAAAAGAATGCAAATTTTCAAAGCAAAAAGATGTCTTAAAGGAAGTGGAGTTTTTATCAATGAAAATTTACCTACTAATCGCTATAGATTGTTGCAGCAGTATAAAACTAAATATGGGAAGAAAGAAAAACGCATGGACCTGGAATGGAACTGTTCTTATTAAATATAATGAAAAAGTTCATAAAATAATGCATGAATGAAATAAATTAATTTAGGTGTATGGGCGGCTATAAGTATTTAAAAGAAAATAATCATTTATTTGCCGATACCATTTTAAACTATTATTAATACTTTTTGTAGGTATACCTATTGATTTATTTTGTAGTAAAATATCATTCTTATCTTTAGTAGAATTCATACCTGTTTATTTGTATCTTAGCTATATAAATATAGAGTTGGGATTTAGTTAAAGCCAAAAAAGGCAGCAGGAATTGATAATATTCCACCACCTTAAAAGGATGTAGTCACTTGTTAAAAATACCATTGTTACATATTTATAATTTAATTGTTAAAAGTTTTATATTCCCTTCACAACAGAAAATATCTTATTATACACCTATTCATAAAGAAGGGAAAACATCAGAAATTGAACACTATAGAGGAATTGCAATAAATTGCTCTGTCTCAAAACTTTTCGAACAAATTATTTATAACAAATTGCTAGATCATGTACAAAACATCGTAGTGGATAAACAGCACGGTTTCGTTCGAGGTAGATCAATTAGTAGTAATTTACTTATATTTACCGAAAGTGCTAGTAGAGCTATGGAGAAAAAATTACAATTAGACTGTACACTGATTTTAGGAAAGCATTTGATCAAATTGTTAAACTATGGGCTCTATGTGGGTTTTGTTACTTTGTTAAAAAACTACTTTGAAAATCGATTTTATATTGTAAGGTTTGGTGGAAACACACCAGGAAAGTATCATGCGAATTCTGGTGTGCCACAAGGTTCAAACCTGGGACCTCTATTGTTTACACTTTTTATAAATGATTTAGCATCTTGTTTTAGAAACTCTGAATGTTTACTTTTTGCTGACGATTTTAAGCTTTTTAGACGAGTAGAAACAGTCAGAGATTGTGTGGCGCTTCAGAAAGATATCAACAATATTTTAGCATGGACTAAATCTAATAAGTTACTTTTTAATATTAAAAAGTGTTGCATACTTTCTATTACACGAAAAAAACTTTCAATAGTTTTTGATTATACAATGGAACAACAAATATTGGAAAGACGTCTTGAAGTTAAAGATCTTGGAATGTGTTATGACAATCAAATGTCGTTTGTTCCACATATTAAAAAAATTGCTCTTAGTGCAAATCGTGCATTAGGTTTTCTTAAAAGACAAACATCTCAATTTACAAATTTAAAAGTAATAAAATATCTGTATTTTACTTTAGTACGAACAAAATTAGAATTTTGTTCAGTAGTATGGGCACAACAACCTCAAATACATTTAGACTCATTAGAGAAAATACAACATAAATTTTTGCGATATCTTTATTATAAAAAATATCATGTCCGGCCTGATTATATCGAAATAAGAGCATCTATGCTTAGGGAAGAATTTGTAGTACCTTCACTAAATAATAGACGTAAGCAATCTATGATTTTGTTTCTTTATAAAATTATCAACAATCACATAAACTGTATGCAATTATTATTGTTAGTACCATTTAATGTTCCATCAAGATGTGTCATATCCTCATTAAAATCTCTGCAATCTCCGTTAACTCATATCATAAGACTTGCTAATAATTTCAGTTCAATGAGCAATATAGATTGGATAATTGGTCATATCCAATTTAAAATGGTTTTATATGACTATCTAAACATTTTAAGTTTTTAATCTAAACATTTTAAGTTTTTAATTATAGTTTATTTTTTTCTGTATTTTTCGGTTTTGGTATTTATCTGCCTCCACAAATGTACATTGTACTTATTATAATTTGAGCATCATGTTATAAAATTACATATATTTGGCTTTTATGTTAAGAAAACTACTTATGTAAAAAGGCCAATAGGCCTGTTTGAGTTTTGGTAAATAAATAAATAAATAAATAAATAAATAAATAAATAAATAAATAAATAAATAAATAAATAAATAAATAAATAAATAAATAAATCAGTAAAAAGAGAGTTGTTATTTTAATTCACAAAATAGTTTTAAAAGTAAAAAATCATCATAAAAATTAAAAGTCATGTAAATAACGTCAGACAACCAATTCATATTTATAACAACTCAAAAATCAAACAAAACGAGTATAAAACTTCTAACTTGTCATTGTTATTTTTACCACGTGACCACTACGCCTAAACCGTTTGTTTATTATATCTACATTTAAATTTAAAGGATTTACACGTAAGTATTTAAAAAGGCTTTGTGAATAAAGATAATACTGTATGTGGATATTAGTAGCTATTTAAATAGATTAGTAAAGTAGAATATGAGGGGTTATTAATGATAATGATACATTTTAATTGTATAATATGTATATCAAAAACAATGAAAAACGAGAAATTAAATGTATATTCAGCAAATAACTGAAACAAAATTTATTTTTTAGATGATATAATTCAATGGGTTTCTTAATATTTATTGGATTTCGTTTGTTAGCAAATATCTAAACTAAGTGTTGTTCAAATATAATTTTGAGTTTTTTAAGTCCATCTCTTAAAGTTTTGAAATGATTTTCTCTGTTATTTTAATCCACTGTAATTGTAATCTGGATAACGTATTAACAGAAATTAAATTACTGCTAATACGGCACCCATCAAATCCTACAACGAACCATGAAATTAATTAAACATTTACATGATTTCCACTAAAGACCAGTAATTTAATACACGGCCGCGCTACACATTGGGTCATCGAGACGATTAATTGTTATTTACAAATAATATAAGCAAAATGAAGCGTGCAAAAAATAAATTACATACCTTTTCTATTTGCTCCTCTAAAGTCTTATTAATGCTTTCTACGTCCCCATCCACCTGTGTTTTCTAGCAAAAAAATTAATGCAACATGCCAATCTAACTAAATTTTTACATAAAAATAACTTTTAACTATTCAAAGAGTATGCAATTGTGAGCAGTGCTTTTTTAAAACAATTATAAACAAATCCTTTATACCAAGTCAGTTTTCACATTCAGAATTGACTTAGAAAAGGGAATATGAAAACTATTTGAATTGATCTTTGTATCTTCTTGGGAAGATTGAATTGATTACAAACGTGCAATGTGTCGATTGGTATCTTGGCTGGATATTATATGAACCACAAAATATTGAACAAATAGAAATACATGATTTGTTTAAACAAATTTTTATTGTCATAATCTTCAGTCTATTTTACTGAAAAAATACCCTTGAAATGTATTTAAATACTATTGAAATTATACTTTATTTTTTCTTCTATAGAACAATACAATTATGTCAATTCAGATTTCATTTACGCCGCGTCAAAACAATATCTCCCACTCGACAACAGCTCACGTGGCATTTTCTTGCGCTTCTATTGGTCAATTGGTCATTAGTCATTCAAGACGACGCGCAAATATTTTTGTCAGAGTCGAATTCAGTTCAATTTAGATAATTAGAAACGACATTTTGGTAGCATTCACCGTGTTGGTTAGTTTGGAAATGTTGTATGTTTGATTGATTATTTTTCCTGATATTATACATATATTGTGTTATTTATTTTGTTTTTACGGTTGTTCTTAGTTTGAACATTTTATACTCTATTTTATGAACATTTGATTGACTATATTTTGACATTGCTGCGTGATTTTTACGAATTTAAAAACGTTTTGTTAGTGTTTTAATTATTCGTCTGCCGACACTATTGCCTTCCACAGACACAGCAGATGAAGTCCCGAAAAATGTTTTTACTCCTACTAAAAAACGACCGAAAAAGGGACATTTGGACATCCGTACTAAAGAAATGGTTCTTAATATTTATAAACATTAAATTTTATAGAACCCTGATACGTTGGTACATGATGTTGAAAAGAGAGTTGCTGATAAAACAGGGATGTGCGCTAAAACCGTTTTTAATGTTATGAAGGAGTATAAGCAGAATCATAAATTTTCTGAACCAAAATGAAAACTACGTTATAAACAAATTTGCGGATTTGTGGATGATTTTGATAAAAATTCAATAAGAAGTTCATCAATTCTTCTTTAGAAATGAACTTCCAACAATCGATAAGGTTTTAAAAGAAGTCAACGATGATTCACATTTATTTACTTTTAAGCAAACTACATTTTACAAGCTTTTGAAAACCTTTAATTTTAAATTAAAACTCCGTTTAGACAAAGATGAAATTGTTTTGTGAAGTAGGGAATATTAACAAAAATAAAATGGTACAGAGAAAAAGAGCGAAAAATACATTATCTTGATTAGACTTGGATTAACGCAGGCAACACCAAGTCAAAAGAATGGGTCGATACGTCGGTTTTATCATCCAGACAAGCCTTTTTGGATGGACTGGTTTAAAAAACCCAACAGGTATATGCGTAAAATTATGTTAATAATCCCAAACAAATGAGTTATTGTTTTTTTAGGAAAGGGAAAACGGCTCATTATATGCCATATTGGAAGTGAAGAAGGCATTGTCTCTATGCACTTTGTGTATTTGAGTCAAAAAAATCCGGTGACTACCATGAAGAAATGTGTGGAGAATCCTGGTTTTCAAGCACCCTACCAAAATGAGAAGATAACTGTATTATCCTGCAAGATAATGAATCTTATCATTCGAGAAAGCTGAAAAAAAACCTACAACGGCGTCTAAAAAAGGTGATATTCAAAAATGACTATAAGAGAAAAAACTGAATTCTACGACCAAATGCTTAAAATCCAACTTCTAAAACTTGTTAAGCAACATAAAAACCAATATGATAGGTATGTAATAGATGAGGAGATCACTAAGTAGCAAAACAAAACAATACTTCGCCTGCCTCCGTATCATTGTGAACTTAACTCTATTGAATTAATTTGGGCCGACGTTAAACAATACGTAGCAGATAAGAACTCAACTTTTAAATTTGGAGACATGAAAATTCTTTTTGAAGAAAGAATATCATTAATTTCTCCCGAAAAATGGAAAAAGTGTATCGACCATGTTCGCCGCCAAAAAGTTGAAGTAAAAATGTGGGAGTTGGATAATATTATAGAGGTTCAGGTAGAACCACTTGTAATTTCGATTAATGAAGATAGCTCTTCTAGTCTATCTAATTTGTCCGATTCAGAATATTGCTAAGTGAAGTAGAGAAGACTACTATAATATAGGTACAAGGGTGTCTAATCTAAATACTAGTAGAAGAAAACGATAAAGAACAAAAGTTGTCAAAAATACAAGAAGAGAGGCAATACTGAAATGTTAAAAATTTTTATTTTAAGATGCACAATTTTAAATACTAGTCTAAGAGATCGTGAGAGGTCGACCTTCACCCATCTGATAACCAGATGAGGCATATTTTTTATGAAATTTTATTGATTTATTAACACTCCTATGGGAACTTGTCATTCTAAAAAGTGTTCATGGCTATTTTTAATTAAATAAATTTTAATCAATTTTTTTTATCACCTTCACTTTTCTGATAATCGAACAAATTTAATTTTAACAGATATATTTTAACATGGAGAATATGCCTCGGTAGGCGTGTCTACTTAATTCTGTTCATGGCTACCTGGCAAGCTGATATGAACAGGTTAGTCAATATAGGTAACTACACTCATATGTCAACCAATAAAAATTGATACGAAAATAATCGTATAGGCTTGCCTGCAAAAAACTGTTAATGGAATACTCTTGCCATGCTTTAAAGTTTTTAAATGGGAGCAATTAAATATGTGCGAGAGAAAGTAAAACGTGCGAAGTCTGTGTGATAGAACAGGGCTCAACCTCTTTTAGATGCGATTGACAGGGACAGTGCTTAATTGTTGTTGAAATTTAAAATCTACTTGAAACAAAATTTGATTTTTCTCGAAAACGGTCGACTTTAGAGCATATGACCAAGAGTACCTTTTTTTGTGTAGAAAACATTGGCGGTTCAAATGGGCGTCTCAAAACCGTACTTTTTCCAGTGGCGTAGAAAATGTTTTTTTCAATTTCAACACCCTCTATCTCGAAAATGGTGCATTTTAGAGGGTAAGTTAATAGAAACGTTTTTTGATATTTTTGGACGAGCTATCACGTCCTGAAGTCCTGCGCATATATTATGAAACACCCTGTATAATTTTAATTTATCATTGTTAAAAATACAGAATTTCAAGTTTTCATGAACTTTTGAACGTTTGTGACTAGAAAAGCTATAGTTTTGGATTTTTTAAATAAATTAGGAGTAGAGATATATTAATAACAAAAAAAATATTTTTCTATTTGTTTAAATTTTACCTCATAATTTTATAATCACTTCAACCTTCCTGACAAATTAATTATTAATTGGAATAGTTTTATTAAAAATGTTATGTTACTATTAATATTTTTTTATATATTAAAAAAAAAACATGAAAAATAATTAGATTATAGTGGTAGAAATTGTTAAATTAGTCGAACTGTTCAAACAGCATTGAGCTATGCAAAATATACAAAATCTTGGCTCTATCAAAAATATACAAAATGCAGTTTAAAGCAATTATAAAAAAAAAACATCAATCATGTTAAAAGCAAAGAAAAGTAAAATATACTATTAAAAAAAGGAAACACCAAGCATTATCAAAATAATCAAAGTATTACCTGTGCTTTGAGATCGTTCAGCCTTTTTTGCGCTTCGCCCTTCTGATTTTCCAACTGTTTCAATGTGGCAGCCAAAGTGTCCAGCTCACTTTGCAGATTCTTAATTTCCCCACTCTTAATTTTAAGGTCAGCCTCTTTTTGTGTAATATCGGTTTCTAAGATTAGTTTTTCTCTAGATAATTCTTCTATGTCTTTGGTAATCATATCTAGTTCGGGATTTGAGTATCTAGTATTATTGTTCTCCTGAAAGATAGTTTTACACTAATCACTCTGTAAAACTAGAACATTTATAAACAACACATATTCGTTTATAATTTTACCCAGTGGAGGTTGGCTTTAAATTTAAACAAAGTTAATACAAAAATTATTTTAAATTGAAGTGAGGTTATTGAGTTGTTGGTACATTTCCAAACCAGCTCTCAAGTATTACAGAGGTACTCCACAATTTTTTTAAGGGTTTGTTCGCCAGTAGCCGTTGTTAAATAAACACAGGGTGGGCCGTAAATAATTGCCCATCGCGTAGAAATATTACAATCTAATTCAACTTTCTTTAATAAAATACTGAAAAATAAATAGCGCATAGTGTCAAATTTGAAATAATTCTTTAGCTTTTATGGTAACAATTACACAATATGTTTATAAATTATTGGCAAAATTGGCAGAGGGTTATTATTTTAGGCAAGGAACTATTTTGTTCATAATTTATTTTTATTTTTTTATCGAGGGTACCGCATGTTCAATATGTGATGATTAAAGATCATCATTTTTTCGACAGGATTATTTGGTAATTGTAGCTAAAAAAATAATATATGATGTAAACATCAGTACTATGTAAATTGTTTTAACCTCTTTCAAGAAATAAAAATATATTAAATAGTTCAAAGTAACAAAGTGTTAAAATTAAACAAAAAAAAAGTGAAATTATTACAAAAACAACCTTACGAAATTATTTCACTTTTGACATTCTGCAACTTTTTTATTATTTAATATTTCAAATTATATATACCGTTGTAATAAATTTAAATGAAATAAAAATACAAATCGTAAAATTTAAATAAAAAATGAATCCTTTAAATTAAAATCGGTATTCAAGAAGTCATCATTATCTGTATAGGTGCATTTTATACACTTATGATCGGAAACATCTTTTTGTTTCTCGTCCATGAACAATTTTAAAGTGTTTGTTATGTTCCTAAATGTTTTTAAATTTTAACAAACTGTGACTGCACCAGAAGATGGAATTGTATTCCAAAACATACGTAGTGCTGAATTAATAAAAATATAATCAAACGATCATAACATAGGTTTAAAAAATCTACTAGGATCAGACAATTATTTTTTTCTAATGATTTATTAACAGGGTATCAGGGAAAATGTGGAAGATCTCTCAGATTCAGATAGAACATTAAAAAATAAGATGACAAATTCCCATAATTTTTTTCCTAGCGGCCCTCCCTACGGAGATACGGCCTCCAAAAGGACGCCACTGGAAATCAATTTTTCTTGAATAACTTTTAAACTACGTAATATAATTCAATGAAAATTTAATATGATAAACAGTAGTAAGAACCTCTTAAAATACTGCCCTTAAAACATAAATAGCTTGTTTAGTTTACCAGGGCGAATTAGGTTGTATATTTTAATGCTAACATTTTTAACACCCTGTATGATAAGGAGTTAAAAAAAATAAATTTCGATACCTTGACCACTAAGCTAAAGAAAAGGTACTCTTCTTCATTGTCGATAAAATGAAGTTTTCGAAAAAAAAAAAATAAATAAAATAAAATAAAAAAAAGCATTAATGTTTTATTTTTATTAAAAAGAAACCATGATTTCTATTTTTTTTTTGTCTGCAGCAAAGTGTGACGAAAGTCATTGAAGTAGAACTGTTATCAGTATTAAAAAACGCAGTGTTTTTACAAACGTTACTATAGTACCTACGAAATAAATAAATGAATAATTGCATTGACGTGTGCATTTTAAATCTTGTTGACACGTTATTAATTTTTTGAATTTTGAACATCTTGGTAAATTTAATCCGATAATGGGATACACATTTAATGAGTAAGCAGATATGCATCTTATGTATGGTCTTGCATCTTGCAATGCTTATGAAGCAAGAAGGTTGTATGAAGAAAGATATCCTAATCGCAATATTCCAAATGAGAAAACATTTTAGCGACTTGACCAACGTCTAAGAGATACTGGTGGGCGATTCCCAGTTAATAAGATAACATTATTGACTTTCTTTAATAATTTTTAGGAAGTTTTGGGGAAACAAGTACTGATGCTGGTGTGACAAGAACAGTACGTACGGTGCAATTGGAGGAAAATATTTTGGATACTGTAGCTGATACTCCTTCAATAAGCACTCGAAGATTAACCGCACAGCTTCATGTGTCAAAAACGACAATTGCTAAAGTGCTTAAAGATCAGTTATTATACCCTTACCATCTGCAATGCAAAAAGAGAATCAACTACTTCCTGAAGATTTTCCTCGAAGAATCCAATTCGCAAAATGGCTGTTAGATCAGCAACGAACAAACGGAAACTTCATTAGCACTATTCATTTTACCAATGAAACAGGGTTTACCAAAAATGGTATTGTAAATTTATATAACTCGCATGTATGGGCTTATGAAAACCCTCATGCCACTGTTGTTCATCATTATCAACATCAGTTCCAATCAATTAATGTTTGGGCAGGAATAATCGGCAATTTTTTGATTGGACCATGCATATTGACGCCACGATTGAATGGTGAACTTTATTTATAGTTCCTTCAGAACGCTTTTCTGGATCCAATAGAGCATTTGCTACTTGAAACCCACCGAAGCATGTATTTTATGCATGATGGAGCCCCAGCTCACTTTAGCGTCGCCGTACAGGACCACCTGAATAACGTCTATCGAAACCGTCGGATAGGCAAATGAGGTCCAATTGCCTGGCCTCCATGGTCTCCCGACCTAACGCCAATGGATTTTTACCTGTGGGGTCATCTCAAAACCTTGGTGTATTCCTCTCTGGTTGATACTAGAGGGGAACTTTTACAGATAATCATATTTCATTATGATGTGATAAGGGTTGTTATGGCGAGTTCAGCAGTCCTCTATTCGTCGGGCCCGCGAGTGTATCAGAGTTCACGGAGCACATGTTGAACCCACTTTTAAAGTTTTTAATTGATTATTTCTAATTAGCGTATTTAGGTTTAATTGTTACAAGCTTTAGTGAGTTCAGGATGAAAACATAATACTCCAAGTTTTATTTTAGAAATTACCAATTTGAAATTAGCTAATTCTCGAAAACGGTTCATTTTATCGACAATAAAGAAGAGTGCCTTTTCTTTAGCTTAATGTTCAAGGTATCGAAATTTATTTTTTTTAACTCCTTATCAAACAGGGTGTTAAAAATGTAAGCATTAAAATGTACAACCTAGTCCGCCTCTGGTAAACTAAACAAGCTAATATGTTTTAAGGGCAGTATTTTAAGAGGTTCTTAGTACTGCTTATCACATTAAATTTCCATTAAATTATATTACGTAGTTTGAAAGTTATTCAAGAAAAATTGATTTCCAGTGGCGTCCTTTTGGAGGCCGTATCTCTAGGAAAAAAATTTATGGGAACTTGTCATCTTATTTTTTAATGTTCTATCTGAATCCGAGATACCTCCTACGTTTTCCCGGACACCCCGTATAGTTTCAGTTACCACAAAAAAAATATCTCAATTATTTTTATTATTTGTAGTTAAATTGATAACTTTTTAATACTGTTTGTAAAACAGAAAAAATCTTTCCGCTAAATCAAAAAAATATAGAATTCCATAAGTTAAAAGCAAAACTTACCACAAGGCCATCTATTGGTTTTATATTACGAAAACTGGGAGGCACCATATCAGGTGTCAAGGTGACTGGAGGCTCTATTCCCTTCAAGCATTTTGCAATAAGCCACATGGCTAAAGCAAACTGTTCATCATTCAACTTTCCCACTTGTTTAATATCACACAAGGCCCTAAAATTAATTTCGCGAACATTAATTTTTTTCCTATACTGGACAATGGGGAATTCTCTTTTTTTAAGTGTTCCGGTCCCAATTAAAAAAAAAAACACTTATGGAACCACTTCCGTGTATTTGACGTACACAATTAAAATTTAAAATAGTTGTAGTAAGTAGTGGCCTAAATGCAGACGCGAACTAAAAAGTAGTTTAATTTTTGTGATTAATATTATAAAGATAGAACTTAAAATTAAATAAACACAAAATAAATTTTATTAGGAGGGATAAATTTGAAATTAAAAAAAAATATATCCGTGTGGCTGCAAATAAAAGCTCTGAAGCACAATTTCAAAATGTATAATATGTTCGTTTGGGTTACTTTTCTTTAACACTTGTTCAAAAGCCCTACTGTACTGATAATTTGTATCTGCGGTTGGCCCTTATCTATTAACGTATTACGTCTATTTATTTTAAAACAACTGAGATATGGAACAATTCGCAAGTATCTGCGGCTGGCCCTAATCTATCAACGTATTATCTCTATTCATTTTAAAACCACTGAAATATGGAATAATTCGAAAGTACGACATTCATTTGGTTTTCAATTTATACTAGATTCTGAGATAAATATATTATCATATTTTTAAAACGTAACGTTTTTCATATGTGACAGTTAGTAATTAATGACCATTAGAATGGGCCGAAAAAATGAAAGTTACAATTTTAATTTGCTATAGCATTTAAAAGCTGCGTTTCATTATAAAAACTGCTTGTAATTTTTTCACAATTTTAAAATTAAAATAGCTAAAAATAAAATTAAATATAAAATTTCAATTAGCTATACCCACTAAAAGCATATACACTGGTTATTTTTTTCGAAATTTTAGAAATACTATTTAAGCCCTCTACCACTCCCTTAGAAAATTTATATAGACAAAAAATTTACTTTCGTTATGACAAAATTGAAATCCCGATTTTTAGTAGAATTGTAACCCAACTATTTTCCACTATAAAAGTGCTCCCACTCCCACCCTTACATAAAATTAGTACCTACTTTTTAAACATTATATCTTCTCAACGTTAAATCACCGAAAACTGTCATTTAAATAGGTAGAAACAAAACAAGACCTGTTAATTATTAGAATTGGCAATTTGCAGTTGTCGATGCAAGATTTAACACCTTCTCGGGGTTGGTTATAAATACGCTATTTCTTAGATTCGGGCGGTATTATGTGCCTAATCGTTGTAATAAACAATAATAAACAGTGTTTTAAATTATTGTAGTTTAACTAGGAGTAAAGTGGAATATCCTATATTTGGGAACCCAACCGATTTGAACCCTCATATGTTGCCGACAATTGAACAAAATATCATAAATATAGTGGAAAAGAACCAAGTTTTTTTAGAAGTTTGCAATGAACTTGTTCTTAAAATTGAAAACATTTGGAAAGAGGCATCAATTTCAACTGTTTCAAAAGACAGAATTGTGCAATTAATACGGAAGTATTAAGAAAAACATAAGCATTTAATAAGATATCCCAGAAGCAAGCGAAAAGGTAAATACATTTAAAATAGAGTGCCATAAAAAATTACTTGACATAGCTGCTTGTAAATGGGATTTTTCGGTATGCATGTGTGAAAAGACCCAGAAAGTACCTACCAAGGAACACAATTTTCTTTCTGATCAAAGATTTGTCAGAAAAATCAGCATAGGAAATGTAGATCGTGAAGAAACAAAGAAAATATTGTTGAATAAACAAAGACAACCCAGAGAAATCAAAAGAATAAAAAAACATGAATCAGAATCTTGCAATTAATTAAGACCCAGCTGTTCCTCTCAAACTATTACATCATTATCAGGGTCATAATCTGACCCCTCAAAATATCAATCCTCTTCAGATGACGACTTTATCAATCTCCAAACTTACCCTCTACCTCAAAAAACACTCAAATGAGAACAAAGTTACCTATGTTAGGTCTTGTATACAATAAATATGGTATATCTGATCGATCAGCTGCTGCAATTGCTAGTGCAGTATTAAAAGATGTAGGAATAATGTGGTCGAAAATAGTTGACAAAAATAAAGTGAGAAGAGAGCGAAATAAATCTAGAAATACCGCAATGAAGGAGTTTGAAAGTGATAACAGAAGAATAAGAAGTCTTCATTTTAATGAACGAAAGAACAAAAATTTACTGCAAGGGAAGAAAAACGGTAGAATATACAAGAAAACTATTGTCGAAGAACACATATCGCTTAAAGAGGAACCTGAATCTATCTATATTGGCCATGTAACTCCAACTACAAGGACGGTAAAGTCAATTGGAAAAGCAATATTGGACTTTTCTGCTAAAAACAATTAAGAACTAATGATTTGGCGGCTGTGGGTTGCGATGGTACTGTTGTTAACACCGGTAATAAAAATGGTGTTATTAGGTATATTGAGACTGAATTAATGGTATATTTGCAAACTACACATATTGCCATTAAGACATTTATACCAACATTTAGATGGCAGCACAGTGGGACCTCGTTAATATTCTGGTGAAATAGGGAAGTATTTAGAAAAATGTGAACGTCTTAAAATTGTAAATTTTACTCTAATAAAATGTGAGTTGCCAAATATAACTGTAATATCTACAGATTTAAGTTCTGATCAATCATATTTATATGACATTTGTAAATGCAAATTTAGCACACCGTAATCATGGGAAATTAGCGCGATCTAGGTGGCTCACAATGGCAAATCGTGTTTTTCTGCTCTATACTGGAACGGAAAAGCTACCGTCAAGCCTTACGAATATAACCGAATTCATAATTAAAAGTGTATGACCCAATGTGGTTTAATATTAAAACTAAATTTCAGTTCCACTAGTGGTAGTTTGCATGTATTTAAAACGATTGAACTGTCACGGCATTTAAGAGATGATTTAGATTTGACTAGTTTAATTAAGTGTGTGTTTATATTGTTGCTCTACTAAATTAGCATTTTATTGTGGAAATAGTTAACTAGAAAATAGCACAAAGCTATTAATTTAAGTATTTTAAGCTATTTTCTTTAAATTAGGAATAATTATATGCATAGATATATTTTTTGATTGTATGTGTCCTCTAATTGGGGTTTAACCTGTTTGGACAATAAAGTATTTTTAAGTATTGTGGATATGGTAATCCAAAGAAACGCGTATTTTATACACCCCGAAAACATTCTTTTATGTATGCTGACACTCGTGAATGGGTTCGGAAACTATCTCTACAAAAAATCTTAAAAGCTAGAGAAACCAGTCGAAAAACCGTTGAAGTAAGACAAACACTTTGTTGTACCAAAAATTAATTTCAGACTACTTTGAGTTAATTTACTGGAATGAGAGCGATGTGACACCGCCTCCTGTTTTAAGGGATTTTACTGATAATAATCTTAGGGACCTTATAAACGAAAATGAAATTCCAGACTTTGATTTTCCGAAGTTTCCTTGCCATACTCTATCCATGGAGGGATGCGTAAAATTAGTTACAGAGATATCTTCTTTAGTTATTGGTCCAGAATCTTTTTTTTTATTACTATGTTGTTTTGTACTTGATGTTTTTATATTTTATTTGTTAGCTTTTTGTTTGATTTCTTTAGGTACTTTTTACAATTTTTTAAATATGTTATTTAGTTTTAATCGTGTAATATTTATTTTTTGTTCAAGTAATTTTTACCTTATCTTTTAAAGTCAAAATGATTAAACATTGGTTAAAAGGGGTAGTAGCGGACTGAATATGTTATTTAAAAATATTAAAAATAAAGAGTGTGAATACAAGCACTAAAATGTAAGTTTCAGTAGGTATTGTACATCAAAATTTCAAATTTTAACAGTTCGTCCCTAAAGGGGGCGGTAGAGGGCTGAAAATGTGGATTTAGAAATTAAAACAAAAAACAAAAATACGAAAAGTAAGCACAACAAAACGCAAGGTTTGATAGGTATTTATATTTTTTAAAAATATGCCTAATTTGGCCCAGCCTAATGACCATCCTCTAAGGGTCTAACACTAAAAACCAAAACGGCGTTATTTATGGGGAACACGATTGGTTTACTTCATTTACTGTAATGAGGAAGGGCATACAAATAGAGAATATATATATAATCACTTTGTTGACTACTTCAATAATACTTTTACCATATTTAATTTTAACCCTTATTCTTTTAGTTTTATACTATTATTATTAAAAATCTAAATTCAAATTCGGTTGATATGATCAAATCTACAAAAATATTACTGAAAAAACATGACAAGGCACAACATTAATTTATTGAGAAAACACGATTCAAAGGTTTAAATAAATTTCTAATTCTACTACAACTTTAAGCTACGTTTTCCTAAGGGGTGCAAAACGCCTGTGGTATACGCAGGGCGATTCACACAGTTTAGGTTGCATGAACATTGTTTTCCAACTTAGCGCAAATCGGTTAAAATTAAAACGTTTTACAGTGCATGGAGTACTAAAAATGACTAGTAATAATAATATGATGAGAAAGAGTTCTAAATCTCATTATGATGAAGCTCTGAGAGGAAGAAGTATTTATAAGTACTTTGTTGAAAAAAAAAAAAAAATTGACCTAGCGAAAGTGATCTTTTTAAAACTAGGGAATTGGAAGGAGCAGGATTCCCTTACTTTGGAGGACCCCCCTCTACTTTTTTTAAGCCACGCCCCTTTTACAAACTATGCAGACTCTATCATGTCAGCTGTCAATCCAGTGTTGCCAACTGTTTTAGGTTACTTATTACTAACCATTTGGACAACAATGAATTGAAATTCGTCATATGTTATGGGTAGTCCAGCCACCAGTTAAAGCAGAAAATGTTGGTTGAGGTTCTTTGCCAGGCCATACTTAACTAAAAAACAAATCACTTCCGCACGGCGTGGCGTGATTGACTGCTATCGAGACACAGTCGACGTTCCACGCAAGCGTACTCCGGTCAATGCTGCGGAACGCGCGCTGTATGAAAACGGTCCAATTTAAACCATACAAGAGCAGTGCTGGATGTGTTGCGCCTGCGTAGTAAGCAGTGCGATATACGCAGCTAGGAAAACTTAGCTTCATTGAAATGCAAAAAATTGATTTTTCGGCATTTGCTGGGAATATCCATGAGTTCAAAAGAAAAACACTAACAACTGGGAAAAACTAAAATTTGTCACGACAGTAATATGTAATTTGAACCACAGATATCAAAAAATATAAAATATACGTTTTAAAATTCATTTATATGCAATATATTTAAAAAATCAAACTTAATGGCATTTCCGATAAAACCGGCCATTTTGTTTAAGTATAAATGTCAATTCGATATTGTCTAGTAGGTTTTTCCAAAATTTGATTTAAATCGCTTCATAAATAAGAGTGATATTAACGTGACCATGATCTCATTATATCCCGGTATGTCAAAGTAACAAAACATTTTACTAACTTGTTTCTCAATTTTAACCACCTAGTTATATATTTTCGAAATTTTTCTTTTCAAAGAATTCCCCTTTATATTGACGCCAAAAAAAAAATGGTTCAATTTTACTTAAGAAAACTTTACACTAATTACCATATGTGAGCCAAGATAGGTTGTGGCACTCCAGATTGTAAAAAGATGTCCTTAATTTCCGGACCAGATACAAAGCCATCTTTATCAATGTCGCTCTTAATAAAAAGAGCATCCGATTTTTCCTTCTCTTCATTGGAGACCACCCATGAAAGCATTGGTTGAACTGGTACTGCTGGTAATGTTGGTTTTGGTGGAATAGGAGAAACAGACGGGGGTACAATTGAAGGTGGAAGATCAGGTTTAATTCCATCCCTATTTCTATTTAGTGTATTAGTTTTTGGTACCTGTTCGATGAGTTCTGGAGGTAAAGTATTTGGTATAGCGTACTTTTCGAGAGCCTTATATACTAAATGCATTGCCTTTAAAAATATATTAAATTAGTTAATTAAATTTAAAATAAGTTTAAAAAACGTACAACTACAAATTCGTGCCTATTTAACATTCCATCTTTATCTTGATCAGCTAGGTCCCAAATTTTTCCCAGTGTTTCAAATGGTAATTTTGACTCCATTAGAACATTTTTTACCTAAAATGCATGAAACAGAACATAATGACATAATTATTTTTTGATATATTAAACCCAAATTAATTGGTTACATAAATTACCTTGTTACCAGGTATTAATCCATTAGTTGGCTGTAGTGATTCAAATAGTTTATCATATTTTTCTCTTTCAGAAGGCTTTATAATCCAATCTACAGCTGTAGGGGGTAGAGACGTAATCAAAGTACTTCTTGGAGGTGGGGGTTTCGAGGGTTTAGGTAAAGGAATGTCGCCCTAAAAAATAATTTATTTCTAATCAGTGTTAATACTATGCATTTCTTAGTAATTATCAAAACTTAAAATCCCCCCAGGTTCGAGCCGGCCATGAGGTGAATGTATGCAAAAAATATGGGCAGCCGATATCAAAGGGCGGTAAAACAACAATGCTAAAAACTTACAACTCGTTGCGGTATGTGGCGTGCCCATAATTAAGGAGGAGTATCAGGACTATCAATAATCGTATAAGCTAATGTACGAAATGTATTGTCAAAAAATAACGAGACCAAAGAACAAGTGAAATCATTTGAGAACACATTTAGTGCATTTATGTGATTATCCATAGTCCTGATATTAAAAGTTGTATTCAATAGATTATATCATGAAATAATAAAATATGATGGCTAAATAATTTACAGTTACATTACAAAAGCAAAGTATTATTATCAGCTATTAGTCAAGTATAGGAAATTATTACATTGTGAGAGTAATATCAAAATAATAGAGTAGCAATTCGAATTTTAACTCTACCACTATCTGTAGCAATTAAAACTAATAAAATCCTTTTCAAGATCGAGTTTAGCTTAAGAAAAACTCAGCAATTTGGCAATTATGCCCAAACAACTTTATGGATTCTCTACATGTCAACTAGTTAATTAAAGATTTTGCGTATAAAAAGGCAAGACTAAAATGTAACACATATCCAATTTTAAAATTACGAGTATTCGCTTTCATTTTAATTTTTAGTTATAACTTTTAAGAGAAAAAATCAATATATTTTGCACACAGATGGGCGCATTCTTTGGTGGGGCCCAGATTTCAGCTATTCCAGGTTAAAATTATAGGTCTAATACAGTATGAAAACGTTTAGAAGAGACAGGATTATAAATATGAGACGGGCATTAGTTTAGGACAGGGGTTACCAAAGTGCGGCCCGCGAACAATTGCTTGGTCAAATAAACCAAATTAAATTGTTTTATTTAAACATGAGAAAGGTAGTCAGGTCATTAACCACATAATTTTATAATAATTTTGTAGTGCTGTAAAGATTTGATTCAGTGTATTTCCATGAGATATCAGAGCCATGTCATCAGCATATTGGAGGGTGTAATTTACTGCATTGGGATGTAACTGACCTGAGAGAAAATCTTAGATTAAAGAGACCGAAGATGTAACATTGCACACTGCACATGTTGTCTATTTTAACCTCAAGTAACCCACCAATTGAAAATCATTGTTTGCACGACGCCACCCGAATTGCTCCGATTTTTCCATTCAACGCTCACCTCCGCCTGTGTTCAATCACCATTGACAGCTGTTTTTTTGATTTGTTTGTTGGTGTTTTAACAATTTAATACTTATAATACAAGTACCAATGTTATGGAAGATAAAAAAAATATATTCGTTTTCAGCGCTAAATATTTATTAACGTTTTGACATAAAGCGCCATGATCCTTTGGACTGAATACTTCAGATCCGCATTAAGGGGTTTTAATAAATATTAAGCATCAAATACATATTTCAGAAAACAGATTTCATATTACTTACATAAATTTATAAAAGGGTAAAGTTTTGAACATTTAATTTAAATAAAAAGTAAATAGGCATTGTTTCTAACGAAATTTTGTTTTTAAAAAGTAGTTTTATAAGAATATTTACTAAAGGTGGTTTTTAGCCCTTTTGGTAGATAAATAAATAGTAAAGAAGCATAGTTGCTAGCTAAATTTTATTTTTATAAGGTATTTTTATAAGAATATTAGATGAAATACAGGATGACCTACTTCAGATTTCAAGGTTCATCTTATTTGCGCTCAAATCGAAAGTGACAGTTGAATCTTAAGTAAAAATAAAGTAAAACGCACAATATGATCTAGTATATGCAAAAAAAAAAAATACTAAAGTTACGGGAGTTAGTCACATTTTTGATAAAATTTTACATTATAAACCCCTAAACAACTCGAACAAAATTTTCGTTTACTAAAAAAATCAAATATTTATTATTTATTATACAATCGAATGCGTTAAAGATAACGGAATCAAAATATCCGAATCTTTAAATTTTAGAGCTAAATGCTCGGATAAAAGCAAGCGACCGATAGGGGTTACAAAAATAATCGATTTATCGATTATTCTGATATTTTTTTATGAAAATTGATTTATCCGTTATTTTTAATAAATTAGTTTCGTTTTTTTAAGATAATGTAATAATCGATAGGAAATACAAAAAGATTTATTCAAAATAATCGATTGATTGAAAATATAAATCGATTTTTCCTTTAAATCGGTTTTTAAATTAATCGATTATTTTCGATTTGTCAAAAGTATTATATGAAAATAATCGTTTATTTTTTTTTTTTAATCGATTTATCGTTTAATCGTTTTTTTAATTAATCGATTTTTTTCTATTAATCGATAATTTTCGATTTTTCAAAGGTTTTATGTGAAATAATCGATTGATCCGAATATAATCGGTTATTTTATACAGTGAGCATCATAAGTCTTACCCCCCCCCCCTAACTAACTCGTTACTGGAGTCTTGTTAGGAAAATCGCCGAGACACGTCGATTTTTGATTTCTACAATGTATATTTTTGTATGATAAGTTTACCCTTAATTTCATCCCTTACTGGAGGGGAGCAACCCTTTCGAAAAATTTAAATGGCATGGGGTGGTGAGTGATAGCTCATTTGAAAGGGGGTTTTATTCTCTATCCAACCGTGCCAAAAAATTTAAAATTTGCTTCATTACGTGTTGACTTATTAATGTTTAAAAATAACAAAACCTCACAAAATAGGAAACTAAACTAACAGTGACCTTCTAATGGCAAAAAGTCTTACTTCACATCTGAACCAAAACCGAAATCATGCAGGGCCGAATTTTAATTCTAAGGATGAGTGCGCTACGTTAATTTCTGTTATTCTGAAACAACAATTAGTCGAGAATTAATGAAGCAAATTTCAAATTTTTTTACACGGTTGAATAGAGAATAAAACCCTCTTTCAAATGAGCTATCACTCACCACCCCATGCCATTTAAATTTTTCGAAAGGGTTGCTCCCCTCCAGTAAGGGATGAAATTAAGGGTAAACTATTCATACAAAAATGTACATTGTAGAAATCAAAAATCAACGTATCTCGGCGATTTTTCTAATAAGACTCCAGTAACGAGTTAGATAGGGGGGTAAGACTTATGGTGCTCATTGTATAACCAATATTTCGGTTATTTTTTAGAATTATCGGTTAATCAGCTTTTTAATAATCGATTATTTTCGATTTATCAATTATTTTAGATCTTTTAAAGTAAATCGAATAATCAATTTTAAAGGAAATATGAAAAAAGGGATTATTAGAAAATAATCGATAGTTCGGTTATTTTTTTGGAAAATCGATTTATTGTAGAATTGGCTTCTTAATTAATTAAATTAAATTAAATAATTCATTTTTTTTTTTTTTGAAAATCAATTTATCAGTTAATCGACCTTTTAATTAATCACCTATTTTTGATTAATCGATTATTTTCGATTTTTTAAAGATTATCGAACAATGGAATATTTGAAAATAATCGATTATTTAAAATAAACGATAATTCTTTTATTATTTTTTGTAAACACTGATTTATCGATTATTTTTTATTTTTAAAAGATAATGTAGTAGTCGATTTTAAAGGAAATACGACAAAAAAATAGATTGAAAATAATTGATTGATCGAAAATAATTTATTATTTTCAATGATCGATAATTTATTTAGATAATCACCCAACCCTAGCGACCAAATGACTTTTAATAGGTTTAAATTTTAACATGTTATCTGGTTTCAAACATATGCATTTCTAGAGTTTTATGTGACTCATCCTCTATATTAATTAATATTCCCAAAGAAAGCTTTAATATACCTTTTCTGAAGTTACAATACAAAACCGCATTTTCTAATTTTGACTAACTTTTAATATTATGGAATAGCCGTAGAAAAAATATGATGTTCAACTCACAAGGTTTGATTTGCAGTATTCGCTTGCACACATGCTTTTTTATAATACTCGTAGACAATGAGTACCATTTCTTGTTCTATTAACAATATTCTATGTCAACATTTTACTGTAGTCTCTTGCAGAAAAGTCCGTAGTGAATAAACGCTAACGAAATATTCTATAAAAGGTCTTCTCTTTACATAAAATGTCGTGGCATCTGTTTGATATTAAAAATCACGTTAATTTTATTTCATAATACAAAATTCCATTAAACATCTTTTAAATGAATCTAATAGTTCATTATGATGCTAATAAACAAAGTCCGGTCCCTGTCACAGAGTTCGGGTCCCTGCCCAGTTCCCCCACTCCGTTAACTTTTCTTTAGAAATTGGCAACATATGCGCAGGTTAAACAACGGTGTATGTTATATCTCTGGTCTCTTTTATCTAAGGAGAAAATCAAAGAAATATAGGTTGTATAAGAGCAAAGAGACTGGCGACCCTTACGGTACACCTTGATTTGCAATGGAACTTGGAGATGTGTGGTTGACCTATCAAAGGCTTTTTTAATGTCCAAGGAGATTGACAGATATTTTATTGTTCAATTTTGTCGTTTGCATATTAAAGCGGGTAGAGATCTAAGCACATGCTCAGTCTGGATGGGGATTTTATACCCTACAGCACCGAACAGATTATAGCAAGTTTTCAAGATTTATTTTGCATGGAGTGGAGCCAGGAAAACGTTTGGCTTCTCCTGGATTTAAATAATCAGTAAGACACGAGTTCTATTACAATACAATAAAAGAAGAATATCTTTGGCATGAAATTGGCCATCGGTTCCTTTTTCTCCTTTTTTTCTTTAATGTGTCGGATAAAATGATAAAACAAGCACTCAACTCTGCGACGTCATCCTCCTCCTCCTCCATTTTTTAATTTTACGAGTGTTCTTGGTGAACGGTTCCGTGCTCGCGAATTCACTGGATCAGTGACGAACAGCGCCTCCTGCGTCCACTATTTGTGTATACAAAATGCGTCGTCCTCGGCATGCCTCATACGTGTATGTGCGCAGATCTGTACCCGTCTTTAGAAACTGACAGTACAGTTGGTACCAGAGTTGAAATTTGCTCTTTAAACCCAAATTGAAATTCCGGAGTTGTTATTTACCAGTGCGGATAGTTTGTCTTTAATGAGTTTTTCAATTATCTTCTCAATTAGTTTTTCAATTATTTTTTCAATTATTTTTTCAATTTTTCTTTCAATTATTTTTTCAATTATTTTTTCAATTAGTGTTTTAATTATTTGTTCAATTAGTTTTCAATTAATTTTCAATTAATTTTCAATTATTTTTTTTAATGGAATATTATTTTGGATTAGTTTTTACTCTTATAAAAAACAACGGAATATTCTTCATTATCTTTAACTGGTTTTTTTTTGGTAATGTCACTCGTTTCTCTGTTCTTATCAATTAATCTTTTTTTGGGAATTCCTATAATTTCGTCTAGCGATTTTTTATTTGTCGTAAATTCACTAAAAGTTCGTTGACGTGGAAATGGCTTGATCTATCTCCAAAAATCCAGGGAATTCTTCCCCATCACGTGAACTTTGCATGTTCTTAAGCTTTGATGTTAAACAGTAAACTTATCACTGCTATTTGTCGCGAATAAAAATTGATGTTGCTTGTTTGAAGGCAACAAGCGAGCTGGTAAACTAATTAATAAATTAAAAGAAAAAAAAAATTAAACATTTCCTGTTTTGCTGGTCTGAATTTTCTCTTATTTTGGGAGCCATCCATACCGCTTATTTAGCTATTAATACCACCGTATCTATTACTAAACTTTAAGGATTACTTGAGAATTTAAGTAGTTTAGGAATTTTTAGAAGTAAAATAAGATGTATTTTATAAAAAAAAATGTATCTCATAAAACTAAAATAAGCATGTTATCTTAGATTATTGTGTAATTTTATGGATTTTTAAAGTTTATATAATGGTATATAGATACAGGGTTATATTTTACTGACGTAACTAGCATATTTACTCACATTAATAAAAGTCAAACATTTATATGGGAAATTTTATTGACTATTACATTAAAATAATTTAAAAATAAAAAATTCTATTAACTTTTATAAAGGAATGTAAAACTTGGATTTTCATATCTAAATAAATAAAGAAATAAATTAAATTTTATGCAATCATGTAAAATCTACAACTAATAAATATTATCAAAATAAACCAATAAAAACTATTTAACAATGTAGGTTTAACAGTTTCTACATTTGAGAACTCTTTAACCATACATTTTTTGATATAGTTTTTTGACACAAAAATCAAAAGATAAAATTTTATTTAAATCCTAATACATACATTAAAAACTTTCATTTGGCAGTATCTCATGAACAAACGAAAATATCAAATATTTTAAAACTAATTTTATTTTGATAGTGATTTAAGATTGTATAGCTCTTAGTACCTAATCTGTACCTTCTTTGGTACTTATAATTCTTTATTTTGATATCATTATTAATTTTTCTTTTAAACTATGTTTGTTTTATATATGTTCGGCATCATGTTATTCTTAATTTGTACAATTTGGGATGAGCCATTTAGAAAAAAGTGACAATGGTTTATTTTTGTTTGTTTTATAATTTAGCTATTATTTTTAATTTATTATCTATTAATACATTATATCATTAACAGGTTTGTGGCCATAGTTTTATTTTTAGTCTGGATTTTTATAAGGTCCATGCATACTTGTTTTTTTTACGTTTATGGGACCTCATCAGAACGGAGTTTCTTAGTTTTAAACCAAGCTACTGCATACTATCAATAAATTAAACGGAATGGCGTATTTTTATTTTTTACTTTTATTGACAGTTGTATTATTATTTTTAGGTCATGTAGGTATTTTAGAGTGTTTTGAATCTGGGTTTGAATTAGGATTTCGTTTATAAAAGGTTCTTAAATTTGTTTTTTCAAGTTTTGTTGTCTCTAACATTTTTACTTTTTCATAATCACATTCGTGTTCTGTGTGTTTTGTGATTGTCAAGTGCAGTTAAACTATTTTTATTGTCCTGTTTTCTAGGTATTGTTTTATTACAGTTTTCATTTTTACTAAATTGTATTTAACTTATTATGTAGGATTTTATTTTTATCGTCTGATAGTTCATTAATGCATAGTATATAAAGATATTAAATTTTGTTTTTTTTTTTTTTTTTTTTTTTTTCGTTTTTATTAGTAATTTAATGTGTACCATAAATTTTTTGTTATTTAAATTGATTTCGATTAAATATACATTGATTTAGGTTCAAGTTTCATTAAATTGTGTTTTGTTATATTGTTCATTAAATTGATAATAAAATTAGATTTTAAATGAAGTGCCACACTTTACAATACGTAAGTTTTTCCGCTAGAGGGGGCTAATATCAAAAGGAATGCAATGAACAGTCATAACATTACATTTGCAATAATGTGTAATACTTGGTACTTTTTCTATTTAAATTGTATTGGTTAGAGTATCGAAGGGCAGGGAATGACATATGATACAGTGTCGTACCTAAATTTGGGAGGGCTAATTTATGCGCATGTGGTATAAACACTCTATCAAATATAAATACCAAACTTAACACAAACCCATTACTTCCCCCCTTATATACGACACTGGTGTTATAGTTGAGGATTTGCTTGGAATATAAATCGACTTATTTCAAGTAATTTTTGATATTTTCTTTTGTTAAAAAAAAAAAAAAATTATATTATTATCTTATTGTTATATTTGATAGTACAATAATTTTTAGTTACATTACAAAAGCTTGGTATAAAAAGCTACATTTTTGAGGACGCTAGCAGCTCTAGCAGTCATAATATACCCTTAGGATAGACGAGTATGCAAATTATCAATATTTTGATAATTAATGTAAACAAATCAGGATTTTTGAATTTAAATTTATGGTCGAAACTTGGGAAACTCTTTTCTGATGCGGTCTCACCAAAAAAAGGACTATGTCTTCTCCAAAACATTATGGAAACAGGGAGTTTATATTAATCCCATTTTAAAATTATTATAAAATTTCATTTTGTTCAAATTTGCACCATTATCAAAATCAGTTCAACAAAGGCATATTTCAATTTCAGATAAATGGGAAAATATTTATTTTATATTAATTTAAAAACCAAAGTAGTAGCAATGATAATTACAAAATTATTATCTTCTACCTTTGTATTCAATAAGAAATAGAGATATTGTTTAGCCAAATCAAATTACTTACCATTTTTGGAGCAGGTACATCTAAATTAACATTGGAGATATTTAGATCTTTTCCATTCTGCACTAGAGCAACTAGTTTTAAAGCGACGAACATGCCAGTTTTATCCAGACAACCTCTCCCACCGGGATCTGAAAGATCCCAAATTTTGGAGAGGATGACATCACTCAATCCGGACTTTTTGAGAAACCTGGCGGCTTCCATGCCACCAACGGTTCCATATCCTTTTGGATCAACCTTTGGAAAATCATGAGAATTAGCCATAAATATAATACTTTTAAATTGAATAAATGATTATTTAGCTATTACAATAATTAGATTTAAAGATAATTTTATTACTTTTTTGTTCCTTCTTCAGCAGTATAGAATGAAGAATTGATTTAAAATTGGCTAAAGACATTCTAAAAAGAGTTTAAAACAAGTGATATTACCTTGCTGTACTATAACTAAACTTTCTATACCTAATATACCACAGATTACCCACACCTGATTCAAAAATTGACAAAGAATGTCAAAAAAATAGAGGGAATTATCATACCATCTTGTTACAAAAGTTAAATTTGTTTTCAGAATAAAAGAGGAGTTAGATCAAATAATTCTAATGTTTATTTTATTGTGGATACATTTAGTTTGTAATTAAAATAAAAAGTATATGAACATAAGTAAAACCAAACATGTTTTTTATCTATTAAAACAATAATAGTGTTTGTTGTATGTCTACTAGACAAAACATTTTCTAATTGCTAAATTTGACTTATTTTTATTTTCAAGGTCTGCAATTTTCTTAAATAAAAAAATTAAATTTAAACTTACCACACTGTAATAAGCTTCATATATGGCACTATTGTTTCCTGCAACCTATTAACATAAAAATATGGTTAGAAATGATTTATGTATACTCCTAGTAAATGTGAACATTATGTAATGTTAGTAGATACATGAAAATAATTTATATGCTACATACAAAATTTTTATTAATATATTATCTTGTCAATTAGTGTCTACTTTTTAGATTTCGTTATAAAGATGACATTCAAATATTTATTTAAAACGATTTAAATTACTACATATATTTTTACTTTATGAATGCTATTACACTACTTGCTTGAGATGTATTGCTTACTACATTTCCATTCTTAAGTATATTTAAATTTAAACATAAAATAACATCCCTTTTATAGAGAGAGATATAATCTTTAATTCATTGTTTTATTATTTGGTAAACAATACCAAGTCATAATGAAATGTTTTTTATACATGATGTGATTACAAAATTACTGTAATAAATAAATATAATAAAAAAATATTGGAAAATCTAAAACTATGTTGCTTAAACAGTAGATCTAGAAATCAGAATATTTCTGGAGTTAAATAAAATAGATATATACAAGTTGGTGCTAATTTTTTTGCATTATTTTGAGATATTTTGGGCAACCATATTGAATTTTTGTATAATGGCCCCATTTACATGGCTAGGTATTCCTAAAAGTAAGGTATCCTAATTTTTAGATCTAGAAAAACGTAAATTTGAGTTATATGAGGATGATGTAAAATATAAATTTTGAGGGCATGGAAAATGTTTAGATTATTTTTATGTATTTTTTTCCTTGCTCTCAAAATTAAAAGATAAAAACAAAGGCAAAATATAAATAGACATCTGGCAATGAGGCAGGTGTGAAATTCGAATTCTAAATGTCAGTGCAAAGTGGTATAGAAATGAGAATTAATAGCAGCCTAAACTACATGAATACCCTAAACTCTCCACTAAAATAAAAGTACAAATTATTTACATTTTTTATAGGATAACTTGTGTCCCAGTTCTCAACATCAAAGGAGCTTTTTTTAAGCAATTGAATGAATGCATATGTTATGTAGTTAAGAATTTGTAGCCAGATTATAATAAAGTAAGTAAAAATATTGAAACCCTTTTTAAAGAAATAAACAACAAATGACTTCAAAATCAATAAGCTAGTAATTTTTTGTAAAATCATTTACATTCATGACATTTATCACTTTAATCATGCAAAGATTCCAATGGTTGGATTACTTATAAAAACAATCAATAACTGAATCTATTAATGTTCTGTTAACTAGTCATTAAAAAATCAATTCAAAAAGTATGTACACATTTTGAAAGTTATAGAATTGCAATTGAAAATTTACTAAAAACTTAATCATAACATACAAAATTTAAAAGTATGGGGCAATGTTGATATTGATATTTTGAAGTAGTACTCTTCTTGGCAAATGTCAAGGGTGTGACAAAATTATTTCAAAAAGAATTTCACTCAAGTAAAGCTTAATCTCCGAATCAAAATTATTGAATTTTGGACAAAAATACATAACAATAAATGTATTTTATCAAAGTTTACTAATATTTTACACCGCCCACTGGGATGTCGTCGTAAAGAGCACTTCCAGTACACTTTAAAAGATACACCGTATAAATTATAAAATAACACTTTTTGACACACTTAAAACTGCTAATTTGGATAAATAATTTCAAAACACTAGACACTTATTTAAAAAAATTATAGCTACCTGTGTAGGAGACGGCAACGCAGCCATCTTTTCGAATAAAACTAAAAAATTTCCGATTGGTTAAAAACGGAACCAATAGCAAAGATAATCAATAAGTTGTCATATTTGAAAGTACGTTCGACAGTGGGGTTCCACGATTTCCTAATTTTACTCAAAATTAAAAAAAGAAACATGAAGCTGAAGTTTTTAAGGTATACATATATACATTTATTTTTGATGACACAAATAACATTCGTTTTGAAAGAAACTAAATGTTTTTTCATGATTTTTTTAATATGTTTGACGTCATTATCATTTTAGAAGTTTCAGTTGTCAACACAATCGTTAAAAACTTTTATTGTCACAATTCAAATGTCAAATGTCGTTTTTTGAATGGAGAATGAAAAAGTAAACAGAATAAGTGGAAAACAAAATCCCAAAGAATTTTAATCATATTTTATTATTTTACTGTGTGTATTTATTTAGTTTGTAATGGTTGTACTTGACCTATATAATTCAGAAGATGTTGACTGTACCAATAAACTTTGTTCTTTGAATAATGGGTATCATTTTGTTGGTAGAGAAACACCAATCATTGTAAGTATAAAATAATTATTTCAAAATATAGCAAATAAATATAACGGTTCATTTTATACAGTTTAAATATTTTAGAGTAATAATAAAATGATATCAAGAAGGCATGCTAAAATTGTTGTGCATAAAAATGGCGCAATTATTGAGTCGGTAAGTAATAAATAAACATTGTTGATTAACACTAGATTTATTGACATTTTTCATATACAATTTTTAACCCTTATTTTGAACTTTAGTTCCCATTCTCCAAGGTCATTTTATGGCAATATTCTTAAAAGTGCAAATTAAACCAATAATCATTGTCTTAGTTGTTAAGTAGATAGGGGCTGGACCCTTAAAAATATACTTATCTAATTAAAAAAATAATGACACCACCTCATACAATCAAGACATTATAGAAGATATTCTTAAACCGAATCGGTGAAAACCACTTCAAATCTCACTGATTTGCAGTGATTATATTAACTATGTTTCAATACCAAGTTAATAACTGATTTAGCCAGTCAATCATAGAATCAGTGAATATTTTTTCATATTAAATTTTCTATGTACATTATAAGTCTCACCTGCTTTAATAGTCCATCTCATTCATCTTTATATTATTAATAGCTCATAAAGTTCACTACTGTATCTTGTTTGCTTTTCTAGATACATGTTAATCCTACATTTTTCAAATCATCAGTTGGAGGGTCAATTCAGTTACTCAAAGAACATGAATCTCTATCATTAAACAGTGGTGACTGTTTTGCTCTACTAGAGGATGCTATCTGGTTCAGAGTAAAAATAATTCAGGAACATAGTGAAGAACCTCTTACAGATGAACAATCTCACAATCCTCTTGGGAATAAAAGAGGTAATGATGAAGATATTGCAGATACTAATAAACGTATAAAAATGGAAATTGATGATTCATTAGATACCACTACAGATTCTTCCAAAGTTGCTGGTACTGCATTAGAAGAATCAGGTGTTGCAGATGCAAACTTAACAACTAATGGTACAAATGTACCAAATTGCAATAATATTGAAACTGATCTTGATTCAACAATAGAAGAATTAGATGTTGCAGCTGCAAGCTCCACTGTTAATGTTACAAATGTTGAAAATGTACTAAATTGCAATAATATTAAAACTGAACAGCCTGAAACTGATTCGACTTTAGAAGGTGTAGCAGTTGAATATACTGTCAATAACACTCAGAATGTACAAAATCCTGGTAATATTAAAACTGAAAAACCTGATGATGATGATGATGATTCAACTGACTATCTACCTATGCCATTACCATTACCAGAAATTAAACAAGAACCCCTTACTGATGGATTACATAATCCTGCTTCTACAAACAATGAGCCTCCAGATCAGGTTATATCTGATCAGCCAAGCAGTTCCACAAATGACAATATTCCAGCTTGGAGAAGAGATCATCCTGATTGGAGACGAGATAGATGTTGGTATGGTAAAGATTGTTACAGGTAAATAATATTTTAAATCATAATATTAAGACATAGTGTTCACATAATAGCCTCAATAGATTGAGGTTTCATTTAATTGAGTAATATCGGAAGCCACATCAAGGCTCTATTTTGAACTAATACATACCTACATATAACACATACCAAATATCTATATTTATATTTCTGAAGGAGAGTATCCATTTCATAATACAGCACATATAAGTTTCTTTTTTTTTAGAAAAAATCCAATTCACAAAGAAGACTTTAGTCACCCTTCTGATAATGATTATGATAGTGATCCTAAAGACAATAGAATTGTTTGTCCTTTTGGAAGAAGTTGTTATAGGACAAATATTCAGCACAGAAGGCAATTTAAGCACTTTGGCAAACCAGCTCCAAGGCCAAATACTTTATGTGTTAATGGATGTCCATGTTGTAATAATTCTAGAAATAAACCAGGCTATGAAAGTGATTGTGAGCATACCGACCCAGAATAGAAATATAAAAACTTGCAAAGAACTATATAATACATAAATGACTTTATACAATTCAAATTTTAATATCGTTAGCTAAAGATGTTTAGCATTTTTTAAACATTCAAAATATGTACATTTAATAATACTGTTTTAATTAATTAAAATGTATTATTTCATGATACAACTGTTTCCATTAATGAATGATTTAACAAAAAATAAGTGTGGATAACACGAGGGATAATGTTAACCCTTTGAATCACGAATTAATATTTATTCATAAAAGATTTCTCAAATGACAGCAAACAACTAACTTTGGCGCCAACATTTTGTTACTTGTTATAATCTGCCAAATGGCGGCATGTGATAACAATTGAATTCAATAAATGTCACTAAATGCAATAATGAGGATTCCTTTTATTTTTTTACTGTGTATTTTTTTATAATCTACTTTATTCAAATTTAGATATGAATTTTATTTTTAGTTTTGTCATATATTAAATAATATGGCGGCTACTTGATTAGTGAGATTACAGTGGATACTTACCATTGTTAGTCTGGCTCATTGAGATAGAATAAAGAGGAGATGCTATGACGATGCTAAAAGTGTTTGCACCTTTGCATTACACTTTTACGTCATGTCAAACTCGAGCTAGTGGAACTAATCAGTTTTGGTGGGAATAAATGTCATCTTTTAAAAATAGCTTTATTTAAATTAAATAAAAACATTTTCATTTCGTCAATCTTCAAATGTAAAATTATTGACATCAAAGTACAACTCTAAGTCGTCATTATGTCGTCTCTACTTCATTCTAGCTTGATAGTCTGGCTTCACTTTCATTATTTTTATTAGTGTTTTTAGTAAACACCATTGATTATAACTAATTCTTCCTAAAATATGTGGATCACTAAGTGCCATGTGAATGATATTTTTGCAAGAATTAAGGCTAGTCTGTAATTAAGTTGTTTTACCTGGTATGTTTGCCAGTTATTTTTTGATTTGTTTATTTTCTCCAATAAAATATATATTTTTTAATTCGTTCAGTGTTTTCACCTTGGTGGGCTTTAAATGATTCAATTATTAAAAGAATAAATAATTGTAAATAGCTTTCAAAAGCAATATATTTGTTATAGCTTACAATTGCGATTATTTAACCTTGTAACGACCCTATTTCAGTTTTTTCATCTTCTGGGAATTCATTGTCGTGTCAGTAACGATTAAAGACCGTTATTGATACTCTCTTAGAAAATAAAGTCTCCTACAGTAAACGCCAAATCTAAAGAACCAGCGCAAATGCTTAAGTTCGTTTACTTAAAAATCGCCACACAATTTGAATCTTGTCCTTGCTTACAGTCAGTAGCGTAACGACTAGATCATTGTTTGTTTCTCGTTTTTGTGTTTTGGTTAAAGTGACTGGTTTTATTTTTGATAATGTCTTCTATTGTGGGTGAAAAAAAGCGCAGATCTGTTATTAACGGACAAAGTCGTGAGGTAATATACAATGTTTTTAAATATTTTGACGCAACAAAAAAGGAAGGAGTTACTTTAGATGATATCAAACTGCACAAGCAATAGGTAAACATATTCTGTAGTTTATTTGCAATTATTAAACTTGCGTAGTTTTCCATATTTTTTTGTATTTTACACACATATCTAGGCATTTTATTTTTGATTAATATTTTATATTTAATTTTTTTTAATTTATCTAATTTCTAAAGATTTTTGTTTCCTAATAAATGTAAAAAAATACTAAGTTTAACATTGGTGTCTATGTGTCGTACAGAATAGCCGTGTTTTGCACTGCTCTGCGTAAATAGTTAATAAATCTTGAACCATTTAGAGCAAAATATTGTAAATTAGTGAGTAACACAAGTCAGTGTCATTGATTTGATTTTTGTGAATTTTTCAAGTTAAGGAATTACGAATAAGCTGTAAGTTACGTTTGTTTTTTCAAAATGCCCAAAACTAGAACTGATAAAGTCGAGGACGAACTGCACTCGTCGATTAAAAATTTAATAAATAAACTTGTAACGTCTGAAGAATTTGTCCTCCAACTTGCCGATGCTATAACTGAAATAATTTCAAAGAAATATGACAAAGAAATATTTTTTCTAAAACAAGAAAATAACGGTCTTAAATCTCAGCTCCATGAACAAATTAATAAAATTAAAGTTTTAGAAGATAAATATAATATTTGTGACCAATTTAGGAGACAAAAGAATGTTTTACTTTATGGAGTACCCGAATCTGAGCATGAAAACTGTGAAGTTACTGTTTTAGAATTAATTAAATCTAAACTGAATATTACTCTCGATGTAGGTAATATTGACAGTTGTTACCGCATAAAAATCAATGATAAAAATAATATTCGCCCAATTTTTGTTCAATTTGGTACGGCTTACTTAAAGAATCTAATATTTAATAACAAGAAGCACTTAAAAGGAATTAATATAGTGATGAGAGAAGATTTGTCAATTGAAACATTAAAGGTACTCAAAGCTGCAATAAGGAAAGTTAGCGAGAATGGTTTAGTATGGACAAATAAAGGAAACATCTTCGTTAAATTTAACGGAAGCAAAGATGTTATCAAAATCAGTGAATTGAAGGATGTTGACAATTTAAAAAAAAAGTGATGTTATTCTCTTAATTATTAAATTCTAAAATTAAATTGTATCTGCCTAATCTCTAAAATTTATCAAATTATATTGTTTAAATTAATGATCAAATATTTGTTTAGTTCCTTCAAATAATAGATTTTAAGTTAGCACAAAAGAGTTCGGTTTAAATAAAACTACATTTGTGCAGTTAGTTGCTCCCATTTCTAACTAGTTTTTGGACTTGCTTATCTTGTATATCAGAAATCGATATTCTCAGCTTAGTATTTATTTTATTATTTAGAAATAGGATTTTATATTATTATTCTGAATCGCTTTAGAGAGGATAGTTGAACTTTTACATTTTTTTTTTTTTTTTTTTTTTGAGTCGAAACATATGGATTATTTTAATATAGCTTGTTTAAATGCTCGGTCTTTATTACCATCGCTACAAAATTTTAAAAATTTATTGGATGAACATTCATTTGAGGTTGTTTTAATATGTGAAACATGGCTGCATAGCTATGTTAGTAATGATGATTTAAATGTTAAGGGTTATACATTATATCGTGGGGATAGAAATGCAAGAGGAAGGGGTTTATGTATCTATGTCAAAAATAAATATGTTTGTGAACTTATAATAAAAAATATGGGCTATTTATGGGAACAAATGTGGATAAGGTTAACTCTAAATAAAAAGAATTTAGCTGTAGGGGTAGTTTATAAGCCTCATGCACAGAATTCATTTGACTTTTTAGAGGAGTTCGAGGATACTTTGGCGTCTATTTTTTTAACAGTTGATGAAGTAGTTTGTTTAGGAGATCTTAATATGAATTTTTTTAATAAAAATGCTTCGTTTCACAAATTTAATGAAATTCTAGAATCTTTCGACCTAGCGCAAGTTATTGATGTTCCAACAAGAGTAACTAAATCTTCTTCGACTTTACTTGACTATGCTATAGCTAGGAGGGAAAACTTGGTGGATAAGGGTATCATTCATCATACAATCTCGGATCACTCCTTAATTTTTTGTAAAATTAATGTTAAAGAACAAAAGGAACCTAAAATGTATACCTACAGATCTTTTAAAAATTTTGATGAAGATAAATTTCAAAATGATTTAACAAGTACATCATTTTTTCGCATTTTTGATCAAGATACTGTCGATGAAAAGGTGTCATATCTTGTAAATTGTCTAGTTTCTATACTTGATAGACATGCTCCCTTAGTTACCTCCAGATTTACAAAAAAGAAAGCTCCATGGCTAACTTTCACTATAAGGCAAATGATGAATGAAAGGGACAAGGCATTAAAAAAATATAAACGTACAAAATGGGAAGGTCACTTACAATTTTATAAAAACCTTAAAAATTACACAAATCAAGCTATAAAAAGAGAAAAAAGAGCTTACTTCTTACATCAATTTAGTAAGTGTACTAATAAAGAAATATGGCACACTTTAAAATCTAATAATTTTGTCAAAAATAAAAATCAAGATATTCCCGAAAATTTAAAAAATCCTAACCACATTAATAATTTTTTAGTGAACTCAATTTCAAATATTATTCCGCCCCAGAAGTTATTAAACTTTTATAATACTAATAATGTTGTACCTTGTACATTTAAATTCAGAGAAGTTGACGAAACATTTATATTTACCAGTATTTGCAAAATGAAATCAAATGCGATAGGCTGTGATCATTTGAACAGTAAGTTTGTTAAATTATGCTGTCCGCATATTGTTCCATACATTACGCATATTATCAATTTTTGCCTTTTAAACAATGTTGTGCCTACTGTCTGGAAAAAAGCAATTGTAAAAGTGATACCCAAAAAACAAAACCCAACTGAGTATAAAGACCTTAGGGGGATCAGCATTTTACCAATACTATCCAAAATTTTAGAAAAAGCAGTGGAAAAGCAAATAACAGAATATTTATCAAATAACTCATTGTTGCCCCCTGTTCAATCAGGTTTTCGCAGAGGGTATAGCTGTACAACAGCACTTCTGGAAATATTAGATGATATCATTACTGCAACTGATAAAGGGCATTGTACTATCTTAACTCTATTAGATTTTAGTAGAGCTTTCGATACGATAAATCATAATTTATTATTAAGCATCTTGCATTATATAGGTTTTGCTGACAACGCTATATTATTTATTAAAAATTTTTTGGAAAATCGCAAACAATGTGTTAAAATCGATGAACATAAATCAGAATCTTTAAATCTTCACTCGGGCGTACCCCAAGGTTCCATTTTAGGCCCTCTGCTTTTTTCAATATACACTTCGAACCTTATTAATTCTTTAGAAAACTGTAAAATTCACCTATATGCCGATGACACTCAGATTTATTACAGTTTCCCTCCAGATCTATCACAAAATGCGTGTGAGATAATTAATCGTGATTTGAATTCTTTTGTTGGATCAGCAACTGAGCACTGTTTACTAATTAATGCTTCAAAATCTAATGTGATGTTGTTTGGATCAAGTCGTAATCGTGACAAAATTATTGAAGAATTAGGTATTGAAATTAATAATGATAGACTAACCATAGTAAATGAAGCTAAAAACTTGGGAGTTTTAATTGATTCTGAATTAAGGTTTGAAAAACACATCACTAAATTGACTCAGAGAGCTTATAGCTCATTAAAATTGATATACGGTAATCGTAAGTTGTTGCCTAAAAGTATTAAAATATCACTATGTGAATCACTTGTACTATCAAATTTTAATTTTGCTGATTCTGTCTATGGTCCAAATTTAACAGAAACCTTCAAAAAAAAAAAAATACAAAACAGTTGCTTAAGACTCATATACGGTATAAGAAAATATCAAAGGATATCACATAAACTCAAAGAAATCGGTTGGCTAAATATGGAAAACCGACGAATTCATCATGCAACTACGCTATACCACAAAATTGTCTTGTATAAAATCCCCATTTATCTTTACAAAAAAATATCCTTTAGGACAGATGTTCACAACTTAAATTTAAGATTCAAAGGTCTACTATCACCACCTCAATTTAGATCCGAACTATTTAGACGTTCGTTTTCATATCAAATTTTTCAATTGTATAATTCTGTTCCTATTATATTTAAAAATCTTAACTCTCTTACTTTCAAATGTAAATACAAAACCTTGTTATTTAGCAAGCAATGCACTTAAATCGTAATTGTTCTACCTGTCCCCTCTAAAATATAAAAATATAAAGATATAGTTTTTTGTTTTTATTTTGATTTTTCAATATGTTTAGATTTAGTTCATATACCTATTCGTATTTACATATGTATATAAACACCATCATTGGGTTAAGTGGAAGAACATTTTCCAAGTGTTTTTTTTTAAACTTTGGAAAGTGAACTTCGCCTTTTGTTTTCTTTAATAAACTATTAGTAATATTAATTTTGTAAAATGCTGTAATGAAAACAATAAAGACCTTTATTATTATTATTATTATTAATATAATATTACATTTTTACAGGTGTTTCTTATACTACCGTTAAAAGAATTTTGAAGGAAAAACTTCGTCAAAAAATCAACCGCTACGAATCTCCCTGAATATCAATTGAGGGACATTTGAAGAATTATTTACGATTTTCATATAACAGAAAAGTCTCTTGTTACTGTTACAAGGTTAAATAATAAAATTAAGGAAGATTTAGATATCCACATATCAGAAACTTCATTAAGAAGAGTCCTTAAAAAATTACTATATAAGTGGAGAAAAATACAAAATAATCGTAAAGTTTTGGTGGAAAAAATGAAAATAAGAACTTCAAGAGTAAAATAGTTTATCGTTTATTTAGATGAAACATATATACACAGTGGACATTCTTCTTCCAAGAATTGGACATACTTCTTCCAAGAATTGGACAAATGGTTAAGAGAGAAGTTAATACCTAATCTTCCACCTAATTCAGTAATTGTTTGTGATAATGCTAGTTATCACAATGTACAGACAAATCGAGCACCTAATTCCAATTTTTTGAAGTTTGAAACCAGAGTTATGTGAACTGATTAAATCTCATAAGGACCGACATGTAACATATGCATTTGATGAGTTGTGTCGAGAATACGGCCACACCGCTTTACGGTTAACCCTATATCACCCCGACTTGAACCCTATCGAATTGATTTGGGCAACTTTTAAGAATAATGTCAGTCAAAGGAATGTTACCTTTAAATTAGAAGACGTAAAACAATTAACAGAAGAAGAATTTAACAAAATCGGTATGGAGGAATGGAAAAAGCGATGTGATAATGTTATAAAGGTAGAAGATAAATATTTTGAAAGAGAAATACAAACTGATTTATGTTCGGAAATTAATCCTATCGTCATGAATCCTAATGAGGATTCCAGTGACAAGTCTTCTTCCAACGAAGAATCTGACGAAGATATATGATCATTATTTGTGATTTACTATTTACGTTGTTTGTATTTACTTATAGGCTATATAATATAAAATTAAACATGTTTTTGTTTTTCTTAAATTTACGTAAAATCAGAAGTTATTTGGACTATCCAATTTTGAAATAAAGACCCGGTATAAAAAATCGGAAGGATATATTACTTCATACACATATTATTTCATATTTTATTTATAGAAAAATTAATGTCAGTTAAAATACAAAATACTAGACCACCAGAGCTCTCCTTAACCTAAAGTCGGCTTACCTAAAAATAATGATTTTTTAATTTACTATAGAATTATGTACTAATAATAACACTAAGCAATATGTATGAACAAGCATCATTCACTATTTTCCATTTATTTTGTCTTAAAATATACGCGCCCCTGGTTTACAACTTTCTAGGTAAGCTACCAATTCTATTCATCGGTAGGCGTGTTCATAGCATTATAAATGCGCGCCCTTGGTTCTTTAGATTTGGCGTTTACGGTAACAATGTGAAGAATTTTCCGTATCTCCATCTGAAGCTGCCAAAGTCCTTTCGGAAATTACATCGAAGGGTTAACAAAACTGGCGCCCGAGTGTTTTTCGAGTCAAAGGAGCCACAAGTAACGTTTACCTGAAATAAATATTTATAATCTTTTTTTTGTTACAACGGATTGGTTGGTACTTAAACAAATGAAAACGGTATTTGTAATTTTTATTTTATATATAAATAAAGATTCAAACGAACTCAGGTGACTCTAATAAGTTTAAATTCAATTATCACTTAATATAAGAAGTTCTGTCTTAAACATTCTAAAATTACAATTATTAATATTTAAACAGATTTGCAACCAGACTATGGACTACATTGAATTTTTCCATCACATATTTTTAACTCATGGAGCACAGGTGGGCATAACGCCAATGAAGAGGCTGATGTGATAGTTCCAAGAAAGAGTACTGGCTCTGAATGGCCCAGTATCTATCCTTGTAATATCAAAAAATAGTTGTCAAAACTTGCAAGAAAGTACTGGAAGATTAATAAATATTATAAATGAAGGAATTACCAGGATCGAGACGGGTCTGAGAGATCATAAAATGACTTCACAAAAATTCATCAAGCATTTATAATGTTAGAAATACTAGGCACTAGTAAGCTTATTGTGAAAAGAAAAACTAAACTAGACAAAGTGTTGTAACCAATAATTTTGAAAATATACACAATAGTACTAAATACTAATCAAAATAAAATCCAGGAAAAATAAAATTAGCAGTATCCAAGTAAGAAAGTGAAAACAAAAGTCATCTAGATCTATTTAATTCTATAAATCTAAACAACGTCAACAACGGTGTTGCTACTGTAGTAACTGTAATAAGTATCTAATATATGTATGTAGTTTTACATATTTCTATGTCTCTGGTATTTTGTCCATTTTCTAAAAACTAACATTATTAGTTAATTAGCTGATATTTGATTATTAACTAAATTAATTTACTAGTTTATCTTCTTATAAATATGCCTCTTTTGTTACTTATTTACTTTATTTTACTTTATTATTGAAAAAATTCAATATTCAGGAATTTCTTGTATTTAGTACATATTTGTACTTTGGGAAGAGTATTTATTGAAAAACTCTGTGGTACAAATATGTATTTTCAGTTTAATTCTCAATTATGGCATATAATAATAAACTATTTATTATATAGAAATTGTGTTAAATAAAATACCATCAGAATCTTATGCGTTGAAAGGTTAAGACAGAACTTTTCAAAGAATCACAGTATTTTACAGTATCTACAACCCAAATCTTGAAGGAGTCCTTCTTGGAGTTGTTCCAGCACTAACGATCTCTTGTCCTTTATTCATAGCTGCAACTTTCTTCTCAGCAGCCTCTTTTCTTGCTTTCATTTCTTCTTGAGCCATTTGCATTTGGTTTTCCATTTCGAGAAGATGTTCTGCAGCTTGTTTCTTTTTGGCTCGACCCGATTTTCCCGTTTCTTTAAGAGAAAAGAACATCGGTCCCAATTCGGCTAACCAGTGTCCATCTACAGCAGTCACACATTGCATGTACTCTCTGGCTGTCATTACAAGTTCGTGGTACACGACGTAATCGGGGGTATTTCCGAGGCCAAACAGAGCAGATGTAGGATGTAAGTGGCAAGGCATACCAGTTCGACAGTTAACATATTCGCCAATACCTGGAATAAAATTAATATTATAAGTTAACAAAAAATCGCCAAGTGCAAGTCGTACTTGTGCAATAGTGTACCATACTGTAGTTATTTTAAAATAAGTAGAGTAAATAATAATTATGTTGATAGATATAGGCTATGCACTGATACATAATATTATTATTAGATGACATAAATATCCTAATAAAAAAACAATAAAATATTAAAAAAATTAAATGTTTACAATTTAAAAATTTCTGTTATAGTGAAATATAAATATAAAATATACATTATGTTAACCCATGGATCCTTTGAAATAAAGATGAGAAGCTTAATTATATTTGCACATGAGAAAAACAGAGAGAGACTAGTGAATTGGCTGGCTGCCTGCCTGCCCTGATTAGACAGATGGATACACCTCTACCACTACTGGGCTGGGGCCCACTGTTCTATCTCTATCAAATCAATAGTATCGCTTATTCTATACCTTTCTTTTGGCGTCATTGTAGTTTTATATAAAAATTATATAATTATAATTTTTAATATATTTATTTTTTAAATTGGTACAAATTCTCACTATTTTTAATATTTGTTGGTAATTTATTATATTCGTAGAGTCCTTTGTACAGCACTATTTTCATCGACCTGGATAAATTATATCTTGGTAAATGAAAATTGTCAGACTGTTGAAGTTTTAAAAACGTATCATTGCTGCCTTATACAACATATCACCTATGGAAAACCACTTTAATGCATTAAGTATAAATGATATACTTGTATATTTATTTATTCACGGGCCTTGCCCACTTTCAGTACAAAGTTACAAATAAAAACAAAAAAAACCTCAAATAGAGTCAATGTAAATAATATGTCGTAATAATAAACTAATAAACTAACAACAAAAATCACAAATATATTAACATGTACAAAATTGAAACAACTAATGTTAAGACTAGGGAATTTAAGTCACAGTAAGTTTTAACACCCTAACAAAATTAGAAAAGCTTGAATTAAAAAATTCTAGACTATCAAACTCTAGGCATGAATGAATTGAGGCCAGTATTAGTTCTCATATAGGGCTGATGAAAACTGTTTATTGATCTTGTGCTTCTAGTTGGGGCTGCCAACAACATGCTTGAAATCAATGTAGGGCAGTCAGCCATATAATTAATGGGCTTAAAAAATAATTTCAGATCTGCCTGATCTCTTATTCCCAAAGTTGGTAAGGAGAATGTCTCTTGCAGAGCCCCAATATCATAGGAATAGTCATCTATCTGTGGAATATTTGATTTAAATGCTAAGTAGGAAGACATCTATCTATGAATGTGACAAGTATACTGGGGTTCCAGACTGAAGAGCAATATTCTAGCAGAGGCGTAACAATACTACAGTACAATAACCTGATAGCATTAATACTTGTAAAGTCTGATGTGTTTCTCTTTATAAACCCAAGCATACCAAGTGCTCTGGATACTATTGTGTCAATGTGATTGACAAATGAGAGCGCGGAGCCCATAATAATACCCAGATCTCGAATGGATGCAATTTGGGACACTGTACCATTGATATTATATTGAAAATCAATCCTGTTGATCTTCCTAGTAAAGGATATCGAGTGACACTCGCTGATGTTGGGGGACTCCAGATAGATTGGGAATGTCTTTAGATCTGTAATTATTCAATTTAACAGTTTGGAATCTTTCAGATAAATAAATCGCCAGCCATTGCAGTCTCCAGTTTATTTAACAAAAGTTTGTGATTGATCCTGTCGAACGCCTTGGAAGTCTGTGTATATGGCATGCACCTCACCACCTCCATCCAAGACGTCCGACAGATAATCAACAAAAGCAAGTAAATTCAGTTCCGTAGATTTTTTGTTAAGAAACCCAAATTGTTCATCTATTATTGAAAAACTTAATTTAGATCTTAAGTAATCAGCTGCTATCTTTTCAAACAACTTTGGAATGGAACTAAGATTACAGATGAGTCTATAGTTGTCTGTTACCAGACTTGAAAATAGGTGTAAGAAATCTGGGAATATGCCTGAGGCAAGAGTCTTATTAAATATAATGTGAAGTGGCCGTGAGAGAACAAAACTACAAAATCTGAGAACAGAAGGGGGATACCATCAGGTCCTGGTCCCTTTGTAATGTCAATACTAGCCATCTCTTCATAAATGGTTGACATAGGAATAACATACTCAGATATAGAAATGTGATTAATTGATGGTTTACTTTGAGGAGCAATATTCATATTATATACTGACAGGAAGTATTCTGCAAAAGATCAGATAAATCTGGTCCCAAATGACATTGACTATCAATAAAGAATATCAATGGTGGTAAATCATTCCCATTTCAATTAATCTTAACAAAATTCCAAAACTGTTTTATGTTTCTATGGTCTGTTAAAGAAGACTCAGAATTTACAATAAACTGTTGATAGCACCTTTTTGATAAAGTTTTATAATCAGAACGTAATTTACTATCAGCTGGAACCAATGCTTCATCGCTCAAGGTCACTATATTGTTTCCATCTGTAGATAATATAAGATCTAGTATTCTGCCAGTGTTATTAGACACTTTATTCACCTGATATAAATTGTGAAATGCGCAGGTATCGCCCATTAAGGTGACCATATCTCCCATATGATTTTGATCTTCCACTGTCACTGTAGGTACCGAGCAGTATTCCTCTGGTGACCAGGAGCAATATGGCATATTGAGGTCTCCACAAAGCCAAACAGATCCTCTATGATTTTCAATAATGTTGAACTGAAACACTGGCACTTCTTTATTGGAGAGCGAAGTGGTATATAGACTGCAGCAATGATGATTATTGCATTAGAACCTGATCCAATCTTAACAAAAAGTTGTTCAATATCACTAGGGGTGTCTAGCATGGAGCTAGCGAGTCTTCAATCCAGCGATGAGCACACCACCACCTCTTAAAGCATTACTTGTATTTTGGCTTCTATAGCATCGGTAAATATTATAATCGAACAATCCTAATTCGCCATCGCTGATATCACTGGTCAGTCATGTTTCAGTCAATATGATGATGGAATAACAATTTGCAGATATATTTGATTGAAAAACATTTAATTTAGTTCTTAGTCCGTGTACATTAAGATTATGTTTTGAGTGAAACTTGGGTTTATTTGCACCAGGTGAAGGCCATACTTTGAGTTTTTTCCTTGCATTATACGTGGAATTCGATTATGATATCTAATGACTACATTCTCTTCATTATCTTTGCGGGTTTTTAGCTCAGCCTCTACAAACTTATACCTTTCTCTTTCTTTGGAGGTTAGATCAAAATTATCAAAAATCCTGGTTTTCTTTGAGTTTGTAGCGATTTTTTATCAGATTCTTAACCCCAGCTGCGGAATTAAGAATCACTCTTAAAACTCGATTATTATTTTTGTTCGGTTTACCCATTCTCAAAACCTCTATGATTTCAGGTGGATTCTCAGATAACTCTCATACCACATTTTGTAACCAATTTTACTGCAGATACATACAGATACATGTAAAATATGTATATATTTTAATTTGTAAAAACTAATCGCCTTCCAAGTAAAAAAATAATTGGAATTTTTGTTAAAGATCGCTTATTATTTATTTAAAATACACATCGACAACTACAAAATATTTAAAATATATTATCAGTGAATTTTAATTGACGCTACCTTTTTAATTTGTTGCAATACCACTTCATGAAAGAATCGTTAAAATAAAGAACAGACTCTTAATGATTTTTCTATTTCACTCTTTCTACAATACACTCAGATCTGGGATTAATAGGAACATAAAAGTAGACATTTGGCAACAACATTTAAATTCTCTGGATGGGACATACAATTTACAACTTTAGCAATTATTTCTCAGGCCTACAGTGATATCTGAACATGGCAAGATGTTGCTTAAGTACTTTTTAAATGTTAAAAATTTGAAATGGACTAAAAGATTTGACTGTTATAGACACCATTACTGTTATTTATTATTTATATATTAATAGTCTGTATTTCTTATAAATTACCTTTTAATCTGGCAGCTTGATGGAAATATGCAGAACATATACACTTCCTGACAACGTCCCAATCAGTTCCACACGATTTAATTTCCAATTTTTGTTGAATAACTATATCCTTCAACTGCTGTCTAACTTCTCTTACTTTTCTCATAGCTTTCACATGAATGAAATGTTCGTTGCACCAGTGCGACGAATAATTATTTTGTTTCCATTGATTATATACATTCAAAAATGTTAAATGATCGCTTTCTGGTACTTGAAACTTTTCTCTAACGCTATCTGCCTCTTCTTCTCTGCCCTTTGGTCGGTAAAAAATTGACGGGACCGATAACATGGAAACAACGATGAGTATTTCGGCGGTACAGCCCATTTGTGACGAGACTATCAGCATTTGACATTGTGGAGGATCTAAAGGAAATTCCGCCATCTGACGACCTAAAAAATGTGTTTAGTAGAGTGTGGAAAAAAATTATGTTTCTTTAATAATTATAACACAAAAACTTCATTATCAAGTTTAATTAAAAGTGGGACCATCATAAAAAAATCAAGCTGGAAATTCATTTGATGCTCTACGCTATACAAATAGATACAATTATTTTTTAAAACCTTAATTTTTAGTTTTATTAGTTAATATATACAGGGTGTCACTATATTCGACAGATAACGCTCTACTCCAGGCAGCTCTCGGTAACTGATGAATTTTGATATAGGAACATGAACCATAAAGGTAGTAACATAGAGATATATAAGGCGTTGAAAGTTTGAAATCAAAATTCAAAATTTGCCATAAATCAAAAATGCCATTAAATTTTTTTTCTTCAAATTTGTTGACCAATTTGCTATTTAGTTGTGCCAAGGTTACTGAAAAATCTTTGCAGACTTCTTTCTTTGTATTGTATTATATTATAAGAAAACGTTTTTACTCTCGAGCTTACCAGTTTTAATCAAATTTCTAAAAAAAAAAAAAAATCAAATCTACTTACCCAGTTTTGTTAAAACTCCTGTATGATCTAGTGCGCCCAAGATCCACAACTGATATAAAGAATTCAAAATATTATCTTGAGGTGGTGGATCCATAAAATGAAACTGTAACAAATCTTGTACTCCTAATGATTTTAACAAAAGAACCGTGTTCGCCAAGTTAGTTCGTTGAATTTCTGGAACTGTTGTTATTAACAATTCGTCTTTGTATTGCCTTTCAGTGTACAATCTGAAAGCTTGACCAGGACCGGTACGTCCTGCTCTGCCAGAGCGTTGATTGGCGTTTGCTTGACTTATGGGATAAATCTAAAACACAAGCATTTTATAATAAATTTAGTAGGAATATATAAATATTTATCTTTTTTTATATTCGGCTTGTTTTACGATTAACGAAGTTGTTTCTTAAGGCATAAGCGCTTTTTAAATAGGACTTGGCCATAGAAGTAATTAATATTTTTTATGTTTATATGCATCTGACATTTAATTTTTATAATTTAATTTATAATATGTCTATATAAACATACAAGTCATTAGATTGGCAGCAAAAATCATCTTAATGATAATTTAAATATATTGCCGTGATGTTTACCCCTTTTAAACGATTAATTTTTGCGAGACGAATATGTTAATAAACACCGAAGTGGCATTTACTTTAAATGATGATGATCCAGTTCTTGCACCAAATTAAAATTTTTGCAAATATTTTTTTTATAAAAAATTAGCTTAGGTCTAGTTCGCGATGCCGGGCAGTCAGAATACAGAGCCTCCTGACAAAAAGTGTCGTTTCTGTGCTAAATTTACCGCTTTAAGTGATATAAAATGTTCAAGCCCAACATGTGAAGTTGTAATTCATGTAAAATGTTTAGATGCTATCAACAGAGTAGTAAATATCGACAAAAAGAATTTCAAGTGCCGTGTATATCATGGAAAATCAAATTTTAATGCAACTCAGACAATAACATCATCTTCTAGCAAATCGAATTTAAATGAACAACTGCTAAGTAAAGAAATAGATTGTTTAAACAGGGAAAAAAGCATTTTAGAAAAATATGTATTTGGAATTCACAAATAATATCCTAAAATCGAAAACGAGTTTATCAATTCATGTTTTGCCAACTACAAACACTTTTTTGTCCGCCACTAATGAGCTAGAAAAAACATACGCAAAGGCAGATAACTAAACAAAATAAGCAATCCCATGTTTTGCTCCTCAGTTCAACGAACCAACAGATAGCAAATGAGGATATTGAAAATGAAGTTAAATCAAAAGTAAATCCTTGTGCTGCAAATGCATTTGTTCTTGGAACTAAACGAGTTAAAAATGGATTAATTATAAATTATTGTAATGTTCAGTGGCGGCTCGTGGCAATTTATCGCTGTGTGCTGCGGAATTTTGAATTAATTTGATAATTTTCCAATTCAGGTACCTAAAAGTAGAAAAAAAAAAACAAAACTGACTCTACTGAGAACTTATTTTATTGTAATTTTTTATTCATAACAAGAAAACTCTTAAAATTCTAAACCAAACACATAAAAGAACAGAAGAAGCATTTTGAAGTGCCTAAACTTATTGAAATTTATTTTTTGTATACAAACTCCATACGCCTATTTTTTTATTCACAAATTTTTGTATGACTTTCGTGTTAAAATTTTCAATAGAATGAATTAGCTCTTTTTCTACTGATAACATTGTCAAAGCATTAAGCCTGTCCTGTGACATAGTGTTTCGCAAAAAACTTTTAATTCGTTTTAATTTCGAAAAACAACGCTCTGCTTCTGCCGTGGATATGGGTGTTATAACCAAAATTAAAATTAATGTTATTACCTCATCACCTCGGATTTTAGAGTCTTCGTTTCTTCTCCGCGCTGTGGAGCACACACTCGAGTCTTCTGACACTTCTTTTAAAATATCCTCTGCTTCTCCTCGCACTTTTTCGATGATACTCAAAAATGTATCTACATTTTTTTTATTGTAGACCAACATGAATCCCGCGACTGAAATTGATTGAATAAAATATCGATGTGTGGCATTAGACGATGGAAAAAGTTTAACCAAAAATTAAAATCAAAGTCTTCCAAGAGTCGTAGACAGCCACTCGCTTTTCTTACAGTTTCAACGGAATAAGAATTCTGGAGTTCTTCAAAACATTCGATCAGTTTTTGACGATTTTGAAAAACAACATCTACATCCCTTGATTGGTAATTCCATCGAGTTGTACAAACAGATGGTATTCTACGAGCAACTGATTCATCTAATGCTGATAGACGTGCGGGGGAATTTGAAAAAAATGTTGGAATAGCAGACACATTTTCAAAAAATACTTTGGCTGATTTATTGCTTGATGAACTCTGAGACATAATTAAGTTTAGTTGATGTGCGTAACAATGAGTATAGTATGCATTGACAAACTTGCTTCTGACTTTTGCTTGTACCCCATTGATTTTTCCAGAGATTACAGCTGCTCCGTCGTAACTTTGGGAAATAACTTTTTGTACGTTGGTTTTAACCATGACATTTAAAGCGTCTATAACTACCCGAGATATGGCCTCTGCGTCCTGTCCACACGGATTGACAAATGACCAGAATCTCTCATAGATTTTTCCTTTGTAAAAATACCTCACGACAATGCAAGTCTGTGTTTTGCCGGAAATGTCGGTGGTGTCGTCTGCTATAATAGAAATGAACTTGGAGACATGAATTTGTTGTGGTATCTCATCTTGACAGACCTCTAACATACAGTCTAAAAGTTCATTCTGTATTGATTTCGAATGTCCTTTGAACGCACTTCCACTGCTAAAATGATCTTTTATCGCCGAATCGACACTGCCCATAAGATCCAAAAGACCTCTGAAAACGCCTGGATTTAAAGAGTCTTCTTTTTCGTCGTGCCCACGTAGAGCTAATTCGAATGCACCACAAAACTTAATGCAATCGATTATTTTGCTTAATATATACCTATTTTTCTCATTATGCTTTTGAATTGACATTCGGTAAGTACTGTCAAGTTGAGTAGCAATATTCACTTTACCTATATTCGCTAAATTTAAAATTTTAATTAGGTGTGTTTTATTTTGAGAATGTCTTTTAATTAAATTGCTTAAATGTCCCAAATCCGTTACACCTAATTTGCTCCAGGAATTTTCACCGCCAAACAACAAGCATGGAAAGCAAAACAGTGCATTTGTTATCTCACATCCACAAATCCACTTATTTTCTTCTTATGTTTTTACGTGAAATTGGCGCTTGTAAGTAGAACTTTTTTTTTATCCTCCAAAGAAAAACGCACAAATGGATTCGCCAATAAATATGAAACCTGATTCATTTTACACGAAATATTATCAGAAAAACTACTTGCGACAACTAAGTAAATCAAGCTAAACTAGCGCAAACGGTCTCGCCACTAAATTCAACGTAAAACCGCAACAACAACAAACGGAAATCTCCAGCCGTGTGCTTGACTTTGGGCAGCACCACCGTCCATTTAAATCAACGGTTAAAAACAAGCGAGCGGGCGGAGCGGAATCCGCAGAGATGCGGCGAGTGTTGAGCTGAAATTCAAATAGCACACGTAGCCGAACTTGGCCGAATCTGCCTCGTGATATACAATGCCTACCTATGCGTCCGGTATTTAAGATTGGGTACGTTTATCGCGGAGACTTAAGCGCGCGTCAAACTAATTTTTATTCAGATAGGTACCTAAATGAATAATTTTAAAAAAGAAAATTGTAAATATTCTTTTACTTAAATCTATTTTATTTTCCTGTGATTTTACTGTGTGCTGCAGCTCCTCAGCACATATACACCAGCCGCCACTGATGTTGATCCTGCAACTGCCGAAGACTCGGATTTTCTAACAAATCTAATCACGGCAAATAACCTGGATAGTTCTGACGTCGCTATCAAATTCATCACAAAAATGAAGTTCAAAAACAATTTCAATGTAGTACTTGAAACAGTTGCAAACACTTTTAATGACATTCTAAATAAAGGATTTTTTTACGTTGGATGGTCCAAATGTTATGTAAAAGAACACTTTAGTGTAATTAAATGTTACAAGTGCTGGAAATTTGGTCACCAGACAAGACTGTCGTTGTGCATCAGTGGTTTGTCTAAATTGCTCAGGTTCCCATCAAAAGAAAAATTGCGACGCCCAAGAATTGATATGTATGAACTGCCAAACCAATAATCTAAAATTCAAAACAAATTTTGACACTGGTCATACTGCAAATAGCCCTAAATGTAGTTTCTATTTAAGCCATATAGACAATTTAAGATCTAGAATTCAATACGCAAAATAATTTAAGTAAATATCTGAAACTAGCTCATTTTAATACATGTTTTCTTTTTCCTAAATTTGGCCAGTTGTTAGATTTAAGTTTTAATAGGCAATTAGATATTGTTTGCCTATCTGAAACATGGTTAAATGATAATATAACGGACAACTCTATATTCCTGGTTTTCAAATTATTAGAGAAGACCGTATTGGTCATGTTGGTGGCGGAGTTGGGTTATACATAAAAGATGTTGAACACTATTTCTTTACATAATTTACGAGGTAACGCTGGAGAGTTTTTTCAAATTTGTTAATATTTTTTTATTTTATAATTAGCCTATTTTTTTCGCAAGTAGTTATGAAATATTTTTAAGGGGGAGTAAAGTTTCTAAACTTTTTTTTGCATTTTTTATATTTGATTTTGTAAATGGGAACCTTTCAAAAATATTGTGTAAAAATTTGAGATGAATCGGAGCAAAACTAACGAAATACTGCGGTTTGATAACCGCGCCTCACACATGACTCAGCGCATCAGAAAATCCCTGCCCGGCCCGAGCGCGCTATTGTTACCTGGCAGCAAGGGCGACTCCAGGGAAGGGGGCCTATGATGGCCCCCTCGAGATGAAAATTCTTACGATTTATCAGCCATTTATTAAAAAAAATATGCTAAAAAGAGAATGGCAATGGCCCCCACCGAAAATTCGTCTCGGAGCCGCCCTTGCCTGGCAGCTGTTTCGCTCTCTATATAATCCCCAACCTTACCTCCTACCTTTCTTTATAGAAATTTTAACACAAGTACAAACGTGTGTATACCTGTACTGTATATAATTTAGTGTAGCATTGGCCTGGCAGGTTCTTTTGCTTTACTAACCTCTATGCAAGATAAGGGAATCAGTAGTGAAATAAGCGTTCATGAATGAGATTCGTGATACAACATCCTTTATGTACCTGGCATCGATGATTCAGTGTGAGATAAGCCGATAAAACTCGCTTATAAACGTTTCATTCCAAATTTTTTAGTGTTCAAAATTTTGAAGCGTTTTTCCCACAACTAACGTTTCCAAAGTTGGTGCCCCTCATAACTTCAAAACTACTGCACCTATCCTCTTGAAATTTTGAACACTATTTCTTTACATAATTTACGAGGTAACGCTGGAGTTTTTTCAAATTTGTTAATATTTGTTCATTTTATAATAACAAATTAGCCTATTTTTTTCGCAAGAATCGCGTTTTTTACTTCGTTCCCAAAAAGTGAAAAATTGAAATTTCAAAAAACCCTCCCCAGCATTGCCTGGGGAAAACGATTATCTAACGAGAGAACTTTGATTTTTTTATTTCTGATGATCCAGCACCGAGTTAGGAGGGGCACCGCAATTCTACTTTTTTCTAAGACTCTTCCGAATAATTGCTGCCATTTCCGTATTTTTTAATATTTCTACATGAAAATTTGACAAAATATTCTTTGAATGTTATAATTTAATGTACCATTAGTTTAAATAAACATATTTTAACTGTCTCGTCAAAAAAAATTCACAAAAATGTGCCTTTTTTGCACGAATTAACCTTACCACCCCCCCCCCCCCCTTAAACGGATTCATGTCTGTTTAAGAAATTGAAGATCTCTGGGTCTGTCTAAAAATTGATAAGCATACTATTTTATTAGGCGTAATTTATCGCACAACTGCATGTAACTTAAACAACTTTGTAGATTATTTGGACAATGTTATTTCTTTCATAACGCCTCAATATAACCACATACTTATAATGGGAGACATAAACGAAGAACAACTGTATGAGAATATAATTGCAGATTGTTTAGAATCATATACCTTAACCCAATTTATCAAAGAACCTACACGCATAACTCGAACATCCCAAAGCTTGCTAGATATAATTATTACAAACACAGCTGACCTTATTAGATGTTCTAAAAACTATAAAAAAAATCGCCACACACATAAATTTCAAAAATTTTCCTTCGAACATTTGGAAAAGACCTTACAAATATACCGTTTGTTAACATCATATGTGAAAACAATATTGAAACAAAAATTTTGTTATTTAATAAATATATTCTTGAATTATTTGATAAGCATGCACCCTTTATCAACTCTAATATAACTAACCATTCGCCCCGTGACACCAACAATAAGAGAAGTGATGAAATTAAGAGACAGGGCATTAACGAAATATAAAAGCACAAAAAATATTGTTGATTATATTTCTTATAAAGATATCAGGAACACCGTTACCAGTGCTGTCAGAAAAGAAAAAATCCGCTTATCTAGTACATTAATTAAATCATAGAGACTCTAAAAAGCTTTGGAAAACAATGAATTCATTTAATATGAAAAATAGTGAGAACATTATAATTCCCGAGCATTTTAAAGATCCAGTGCAACTCAATAACTACTTTTTATCTGTATATAGTCCTAGAAATATGTGTCCCATAACAACTGACCATTATGACTGTAAATTTAAGCCCAATATACAATTTTCTTTAAAATTATCGACTATGAAAGAGGTTAAACAAAATATTTTAAATCTAAAGTCAAATGCAACGGGTAGCGACAACATCTCCGCTAAAATGCTCCAGATCTCACTAAACTCAATACTGCCCTTTTTAACACATATAATAAATTGTGGTCTTGAATGTGGATATTTTCCTGATGTTTGGAAATATTCATTAGTAAAGCCGTGGCCTAAAATAAGCAATCCTACAAATATTAGTGAATTTCGCCCTATCAGCATAATTCCTTGTATATCTAAAATTTTAGAACGCATTATAGGTAAACAAATATACGACTATATAGATTTTTCAAATTTTATCTTAGTAATAGGTTCCAAAAAGTAGTTATAGATAACGAATCCTCTAACTTTACATGTGTTACATCTGGAGTTCCACAAGGGTCAGTCCTTGGTCCGTTGCTCTTTGTCATTTACACCTCTGATCTCTATAAAGTTGTAAAATATGTAAACATTCACTTATTCGCAGATGACACTCAGGTATACTATTCATTTCCTCCTTCCTATTTAACAAATGCCATCGACTCATAAACTCCGATTTAAATCGAATAGTTGATTATTCCAATCTTAACTTGAACAGCAATAAATGTATATGTATGCTTTTTCATCCTAGTCGACAAGAAATAAATTTAGATATTATAAAAATTAAAAATGAACCTATACCAGTTGTAAAAAAATCTAAAAATTTTGGAATTATATTCGACTGTGAACTGAGATTCAAAGAACATGTCACATTACTAATTAAAAAATCTTACTTAGTTCTTAGATTGTTCTATAGAAACCGTCAACTCCTTAATTTTTTGTTGCACAATCTGTTATGTGAATCGATTTTAATGTGTGGCATAACTCTTTATCATCCTTGCTTGGATGAAATGACTAAATATAGATTACAAAAGATTCAAAATGCATGTTGTAGATTTATATTTGACCTAAGAAAATATGACCATGTTTCAAACAAAATTTAAGAACTTAGATGGCTTAAACTTGATAATTTATTCCAATACCATATGTCAGCGTTAGTTTACAAAATTTTATTAACTGGTATGCCTCAATATTTAAAAGAAAAGCTTGTTTATCGTGGAAATGTACACAATGTGGATATAAGAAATCCATTTACTCTTATGCTACCTAGATATCATTTAACCATGTTTCATCAGTCATTCACTTACCGTGCAGTTTCGGTATACAATGACATTATCACTGCAATTTCAATCGCAGTCACTAAAAAATTTTAAATACCGTATCAAATCACTTTTACTAATAAAACAGATACGTTACAAATAATCTCTTAATATTCATAATATGTATAAAAATTGTCACTAAATTAAACTTTTAGTTTACTAATATGTACCTATTATCATTTCTTTTTTAAGTTTTTCATTATTGTGTTTTTAATGTTTTTTAATGTTATTTTAAAGTTTTTAATGTTTTTTCTTATATATTTATATTGTAAAAAGGGGTTAAGGGGAGTAGCTAAGTTAGACTTCGCCTCTTTAAATTATTTACTGTATTGTATATCACAATGTAAATAAAGGCATTTTATTATTATTATTTTAATGCAAAAACAAGATGCATTCTATAAACTTTTTGTTTTGCCGCTTTTGAACATTTTTAAAAAGTGATTTTTCTCTTCTTGCACGATTGTCTTCAATTGTTATTTAAATGTTTCTAGTATTTTATTTCTCTTTTTTAAGCAATGTAGTTACGATTAGTGTTAACAAAAGTACTAACTTAAATTTTATATATGAATTATATTGCACACACCCGCACGCGGATTATCCCTTATATGTAATTTATTTTTGTATTTAAATATTAAATAATTATGATCTATTTAAATATGATAAAATGAAGATAAAATTAAACATTATATGCGGTATCATTAATAGATAAATAATACATTATACAGGGTATTTAAAAGTAGAGTTGCATTCCCATTTCCATTTTTTTAATACCAAACAAGCATTCTGTGGAATAAATTATGAAATATCAGCTGCGGTGTATGATTTAATACTTTGGGAGTCCACTTGCAATTTGGGAGCGCAGGAGCGCACATGTGTACTACTGAAGAAGCACCACTGTGAAATATATGATTCAGCTGAAAATAGTACAACAGAGGATGATTGGTAAGAAAAATGCAACTTTGAAGTACCACACCTTTTTGAAAGTAGCCTATATAATAAAAAATATTTTAGTAGGTATGTTGGATCTACAAAATCTTGCTGAAAACACCGTTAGTCGTGAAACACCCTATATTGTATTAATTTCGAAATAATTTTACCTGAAGGGCGTCCATACCAATTCTCGGATTGTAAACTTTCAATTTGCAATAACCTGAGTCGATAACAAAAATAATACCATCAACTGTTAGAGAAGTTTCTGCTATATTTGTGGCAACAACGCACTTTCTAATACCATCGGGCGATTTTTGAAAAATTTTCGCCTGGAGATCAGATGGTAATTGCGAATAAATAGGTAAAATAGATAACTCTGGAGCATTCTCTATTTCTGTTAATCGTTCAGTTAATACTTCACAGGATACCTCGATGTCCTCTTGACCGGGCATGAAGATAAGTATATCACCAGATGGTGGTTGTAAGTGTATTTGCAAGGCTTGTTTAACAGCAGCATCTACATAATCTTCGACCGAATTTTTACTGAAAAGTGTCTCTACAGGAAAAGTTCTTCCTGAAATATATAAAAATTGTAATTAAAAATATTATCTTTATTAATTTAAAGTTTTTACCTGGTATATTAAATGTAGGAACGTTCCCAAAGAACATAGAAAACTTGCTACTATCCATAGTAGCTGAGGTTACAATCAATTTGAGATCATGTCGTCTAGCTACAATTTCCCTAAGAAGACCAAACAATACATCTGTGCTTAATGAACGCTCGTGAGCTTCGTCCATAATAATGGCACTGTAATGATCCAAGTCAGACTCGCGTAAACTTTCTCTTAGTAGAATACCATCAGTCATGTACTTTATAACTGTTTTTTCAGAAGTACAATCTTCGAAACGGATAGCATAACCTACATCGTCTCCTGAAAATAAATTAATATTACAGGCGGTAGTTTTGTATATTATCATCATCATAGTTCATTATCTTAAGGTAATAAAATAACATTTTTATTAATATTTATTTGTCAACATTGATTTATTTCAAGGGTTGATAAAGTTGTCTGGCTTGGGCCTAAGTTAATCAAGGTATTAGTCTTATTTCAGCATACATTTTATAATTTGGGCTAGAACTGACTAAGAAAAGATATAAGAGCGTCAAATACCTGAAAAAAGTTTTTTAACCACTCAAAAATTAGAATAATAATAATTTATTTAGCATTCAGTATAAATATACAACAATATCGCCCTCTTAGTGCAACAACTAGATAACTCGAAATTTATGCATTTTGAGTTATCCAGTTAAATCTGTCCTATTTTTCATGCTCTTTTTAACCGACTTCAAAAAAGGAGGAGGTTATCAATTCGTCGCGATATTTTTTTTTTTTTTTTTTTTTTTTTTTTTTTTTTTTTTTTTTTTTTTTTTTTTTTTTTTTTTTTATGTATGTTCAGTAATAAGTCTTCACCACGGTGTCCGATTTCAATGATTCTTTTTTTGTTAGAAAGGGGGTACTTCAGGGGTGGTCCCATATAAATTTGGTTAAAATCCAATAATTGGGTCCATGAGAAAATCCTCAAACTCTTCATTTTTTTGTATGTTTAGCGATAATGCTCTACCACCTTGTTCGATTTATGTGATTCTTTTTTTGTTAGTAAGGGGGTACCTCAGGGGTGGTCCCATATAAATTTGGTTAAGATGTAGTGATGACATCTGCACGTTTTTGAAGTCGGTTTTTTTTAATTTTTAATTTCTAATACTTGTCAATGCAACAACTGGATATCATGTACGAGCAACCAAACTTATTTAAAGAGTGACTAAAAACAGATAACTCCCAATATATACATTTTATAACTAAACATCTTGAGATATCTAGTTGTAGCACTGGCATTATTGTTATCCGCCGGCACCTTCTTGGTCGCTATGATATATCTAGTTGTGTTCTTGAAGCAACAGGTTTGTTTTCTGTGCTGCTAAATTGTTTTTACGGTATTTTTTAATGCAAAACTGACGTCAAGGGGAAAGAATATTTTAGAAATTCTACGTAGCCAATTAGAAAATGTCAAAATCTATTTAAATCCATCCAAAAAAAGTATTACTATAATGTACACAACGTATAAAGAGGATTGTACAGAAAAAAATTTACCTTTCGTAAGTTCGTCAATTTACAGAAAGATATTTTGTGAAAAATATAACTTGGGTTTTTACCGTCCGAGAAAAGACCAGTGTCGTACATGTATGAGTTACAATATACCCAGTAGCATTAAAACAGAAATTATAGAAGCTAATTATCAAGCACATCTTGCTGCCAAAGATAGAGCCCGGGAGGAAAAAAGGTCCGACAAGAAATTAGCTGAAACATCCATCAAAAATATTTTATGTTGCACTTTTGATCTCCAACAAGTTCTCATGGTTCCTAAGGACCCGTCGAACAATGCCTTATTTTATAAACAGCGTTTGAAAGTGTTCAACTTGACTATTTACAATGTTGTTTCTAAACAGAAGGATTGCTACATGTGGAGTGAAGTTGGAGGTAAACGTGGGAGTTGTGAAATTGCTAGTTGTTTCAAATCATTACCTGAAAATATTAAACACATTATTTGTTACAGTGATAGATGCGGAGGACAAAATCTCAACAAATATGTGGCAGCTATGTGTTTAACTGTGATTCGGAAATTCCACACTTGCAAACTATCGAACTAAAATTTCTTGTCGTTGGTCATAGTGAGATGGAATGCGATTCAATACGGAACTAAAAAGAGTTGGGAAAGTAAACTGGCCTGAAGATTGGAAAACTATAGCACGCTCTGCAAGAAGAAGAGGTGATTAACCCTATTTGGTTAACGATGTTAGACATAATCAAATTCTTGACTGGAAAACTTATGCAGACCGAAAATTAATATTTAGAAAACAAGATGAATACTTAGTTGGCAGAAAATATGCTGGTTGAACTTTTCAAAATCGACGCCATTTATTATAAATTTTATAGAAGATGTTAATGGGGAGTTTAGATGAATAAATTGTAAACGTAAAACACGTATGTCATCTTCAAATAATACCCAAGAGCCTTTGCATCAAAGTTAACTACCACTTAAAAAAAAAATATGACGACCTTATGTATTTGTTCAAAATGAATCCTCCGGCCCTCCCTAGCGAGTATAAAGCATTTTTGAAAGTCTTCCATTGCAAGGAAACCAACAGAAACGGCCTCAAAACATGGAAGATTCCCAAACAGACATCATTGATATTGACACTTAAGTTGTGTCTCTCAGAAAACTGCAGAGCCTTTTGGCAAAGTTTGGTTTCCCAGTTTAATATTCAATAAAGATGTGCAAACTAAATTTGACGTGTTTTATTTTTCAGAAATTGACATCAAAAAATACATCGTAAGATACAGTGTCCTACATAAAAATAAATAACAACAAATAATCTAACTGAAATCTAACAGTGTCAAGGGTGGAATCTTTTGGGTTTTATTTAAACTAATCTTGTTAATTTTTTATTCCAAATAAAGTTGTATTTAGTAGGTGATTTGCGTTTAATTGTTAGTGGTTATAAATAGATAACTTTACTCTTTTTTCAGCAACAACTAGATATCTCAAGTTTTTAATTAAATTCTGCAAAGATATAAAACCTAATTGTTACCAAAATTAACAAATCATAATTTGATAGCAACATATCTGTATAGATATTAAATATTTTTGATTACTTAACAGGTGTATTTTTTTTGGGTTTTGAATCTTTAAAGTGGATTTACTCAAAATATAGTTTTCAAGTTATCTAGTTGGACGATATATATTAACAAGTTCTTTTTTCTAATAATATGTGAACTGGTCGCCCATTTATGACCAATTGGTTGCGCATGGGCTGCCAAATCGTTTACTAATATTAAGCTAATGTTATTGTGTGCTTAGCTGATTCTAAAAATACATAAAAAAAACATATTAACATAATGAACATATAATATAAAAAGTACTATACTTAGTTCCGTTAGAAGCTTACATAACAAAAAAAATAACTAAATAAATTAATAGAATATATTATAATTGCAAAAGGCAAAAAAAATGATTTAATATAATTTATTGTTAGCTTTTTGTGAGTACACCAATCCACTATTCCTTTTATATCATTTTCAGATATCTTTTTTACTTCTTCCCATAAGTCGGCTTCATAATAAATTGCTGTGTCGTCGGCAAAACTCACTATTTGTCCTGAGGGTATGTTGTACGTATAAGCTATTTACATAGATTGAAAATAATGTGGGTCCTAAGACAATACCTTGAGGAACATCAGTTTTTATCATTATCTCGCCGCTAAGTTCACTTTTAACTTTTACTTTCTGGCATCTGTTCTCAAGATAGCTTTTGAACAGATTTAAAGTCGGTCCTCGTATTCCCGTATCCTCCAAGGCCTCTAATAATAGTCCGTGATCTACGGTATCAAAGGCCTTTGCAAAATCCAGAAATACAGTTAAGGATGGCTTTTTTGCATCTACAGATTGATAAATCTTTGTTAACAGTTCTAGGATTGCATCAGTTGTAGAGAGCCCTTCTCGAAATCCAAATTGTATATCAGATATAATTTCGTATTTGTTTATATACTCCTTTAATCTAGTACTTAATGCCTTTTCTAAAATTTTTGTAAACGTTGTGATTAAAGTATTCGGTCTGTAATTTGTTAGCATTTTCTTATTGTCTTTTTTTAAATATTGGTATTATCAATGATTTTTTAAGTTCAATAGGAAATTCTCCTTTTTTAATTATATCAGTTAGGTCGGTTAACAGTGGTGTAAATATTTCGGTATTTTTTTTAATAATTTCAGTGGTAATGTTGTCTATTCCTGGTGATTTTTTATTTGAAAGTTATCTGATATTTTTTATTTTTGATTGGCTCATTGATAACAGGACCATAAATTTTTTGTATATTTCTGACAGGGGGACGTGTATGTGGAATTCCCAGTTTATCTGTAAGTGTCATACCTACTTCAGCAAAAAATTTATTGAATTTCTCTGCCACTAATTTTGGCTCTGCTACTGCTCGGCCATTATCTGTGAGTATTTCTTGTATTTCATCATTTTTAACTTTTATAGTATTATCTGGTAGTTCTTTAATAACTTTCTACAATCCTTTAACATTTTTTTTTATTTTGCATTATTTGTTTTGTATAATAATCTTTCTTCGATTTCTTAATAAGTCTATCTGTTACTAGCCTATAATTTAATTAGGTTTCTTTTTTCTATATTTTCTATATTAATCAGTTTCTTTCTTTAATTAAATTTATAATTCCCTTCGTTATCCACTATTTTCTTTTCTTAGTTTGTTTTTTTTTCTTGAATGAGTTTTGTATTTTGATCTATGTATGTATTGTATCTACCAGATAATTAATTTTATGATTTAAATTATTTATGTTATAGAACGCTTTGTGCTGTTTCGGCTATTAAAGAGAGATATGCAATTGTAGCTTTATGATTATCCGATTTATCGGAACTATAAAAAACGTGATCTATACAACTTTTGGATTTCCCTTGAACTCTTGTGTATTTATTTATTTATTAGAAATTCAAAGTTATATTCACCTAAGATATTTAGATACTAAATCTGTTTGTTGTTTTATGTTTATATTAATGTCTCCTATAAAAACATGTCTACTAATTTTTAAATTAATTTTTGTTTCTTCCAGGTATGTCAAGATTATCAACAAATTCTTCCTTAATTGGAGGTGGTATGTATAAAGATATAGTTAATTTAATTATTGTTTGAATTGCCTTACACTGTCCGATTTGTACTATTTTATAGTTACATTTTAAATTTATTTTAATAAAAATTACTACGCCATCATTTCGGTTGATATCTCCCTCATTGTAAATTGAAGTGTAACCAGGCAATTGAAATAAACTCATATCTGGACTCGTAAGTGTTTCTGCAAGT